ATAAAAACATTTCATCAATCATGAATAAAGCAAGCACGATTTAATTATTTTCATTGATGCGGTTGTAAGCTACTGGACCCCAAATGAGCACAATTGTTTGTCATGGCATTTTATTACGTGAATTTGCATATTACTTAGATTGTTGTTTTGGGGATTTTGCTGTCAGAAGCAATTTGACTCAAACTGAATGATATAAATTTATCGATAAAATGAGTAATCGTTACATATTTTTATATAATACCCGCTAAGACTTTTCTTCCCTTCTGGCTGGGTTTTATATAATTAATTGGATTGTTGGGAGCCGCCTGTGCTATGGTCTTTAATATGGAAATAAGATAAATGGTGAATTATTAAATTATTTTGAATTGTTTGCGAATATTTAATATTTTTTCATCGTAATATATTTTATTTCAATTTTTCATGTATTTTGAGCTATTTTGAATTACAACTTATATTGAATAATTTAACTTAAATTCATGTCAAAACTGCTATGTATTACTCATTTCGTACAAAAACCACCGTCTTTTATTATCTATTATGATATTTCAGTTTATTTAACAAATCTTGTATTTCAGGATTCACTAAATAATTTATTATTGAGAAGATTTTCTAGCAATAACGATACATTACAGGGGGCCTAAAATAAACGCCCAATAGCATTTCACACCCGCTAAACATCATTTAATCGTCTATGGTTTTACATTTACTTACGTTTTACAGTTGAAATGGCAATGATTATTTACAGCCTACTTTGTCTCATCTTTCCCATAGGCCCAAACACTATACATAATTTACGACTTTGTCTCCAAAACGAACGACTCACATACCTAGTTTGACATCTGTTCGTGTCCACATGGTTTTATCAGACGGAAAGCACAATTTTCCATAGTAGATGGCTTAAAATTTGTGTACAAACCCACAGTCTTGGTTTAAGTTGACATTTTTGTCTGTGAAATGACGTTTTTTCGATGTTTTCTACCGACAACGTTCAACTCAACATTTTGAAAATTAACTGATAACTTTGAATGTACTTGCTGCGCATTAGTGTACGCAGTTGGTGTGTAGCAGGACTCTTGAATCACCAAGAATAGTTATCTTCATTTTATTGCTACAGCGTCGATGCAATATATGCATACGGATTCACAAAGACAATAGCATAGAAAAGGAAAAGTAGCTAGAACTAGCCCAGATCACGGGCCGCAGACCAATTAAAATTCATGATATAAACTTCATAAACATCTTAACATCTATATTTTAACACATATTATAAGATTGTTCAGAGAACAATAATCGAGATAGCTGAGGTATAAATAACATTGAATTCCACAAGAATACATAAATAAGTTCATTATAGATGCGTGTTGGAAAAGCAGAAATTTAACACGAATATGTATTACTCCTCCTCCTATATCACGTCATAGTTTTTTCATTTCGTATTCGTTCTTGGGGACAATATTGTATACCCCACATGGCTTCGTGCGCTTCGTCCCTGTGTGACATATGGCGCTCAGACCACAATCTACTTTTTGCAATGATGTCATTTACATGATTTCATCACGAGTGGACTGGTCCGCTTACCATATGTTCTGTACATTACGAAATCGGAAAGCGAAATTATAAGTTTTGTATGAGGTAATCAAATTATTTAGAATAATGTCGTCACTGAAAAATATTTGGGTATTTTGTTGAAAACAAACATAAGGAAAGCTGGAAATCTCATAATATTTTTGTCGACTAATACTAAATTAAATATTATATTCCCTTATGTATAGAAATGTAATGTTTTGTAGTTTTTGATATCCAGCATTTGCATTTGGGATATAAAACCTGCGTATCTTTTAGCGCAAACTTATTGTCAATATAATTTCCCAATCTTGTGATAATTACCAAAAAACATACTAGCATACACATGAGTTAGTCTTTGTTTATTCGAGTTATTAACATACTAATAATACTTATGACATATTTTATCATTATTTCCGCGTGGAAGCTAAACGCGCAATAACGAGGAAAAAGATAGATTTAACCGAAATAAGTTGGTTTGTTACCGCGTTGATCTAAGCATATTAGTAAATTAAACCGATCTAGAAGCAAAATAAAACTTGCGTTTTCATTAAAGTTCTCAACTGTTTCAATTATTAATTCAAAATGACTATGACCAATACAATGTAATTGAAAATTATCTTTGCGCGACTGAGTCATTGTGACAAAATGAATTGAAAAACACCATTTGTGATTAAATTGTACTTTGCAACCCATGAGTGAATTGTTTGAGTGTCATTTTTGAGATATTCATGTTTCTATATTATTTGAGCATAAAATGCCTTCATTTTATAATAGAATCATAAGTTCGGAAATTGGTAAAAATCTGAACAGTACCACCAAATATCGTTTTCTCTAATAAAAAAATTAAAATTTGTTAATATTACTTTACTATGAATCAATACATGCTGCACAAACTACAAGAGTCAAAGAGTAAAAAACTATATAATATATAACTATATAGTAATGAACTATATAATAAGAATATGTCTTAGGTTTATGATTTAAATTTTTATGGTATCCAAGGCGTTGTATCACATATGACGTGTCCATTTACCATTAGACAGAGATATTAGGAAAAATGACCATTAGAAACACTAGGCAAAACAAATTTACATCATGTTTACAGAATATAATTACATTTTTAGAAATAATGTTTTTGTTTAATTTTTTAGAAAAAATGTAAATTTAATATTTGAAAATGGAACTTCACAATGTTATACCTGTTAAATTTTTCAGTCACCATTATTTTGCGTTAGTCACGAGAAAAATATTTCAGAAAGGTTGAATAAATGAAATCGGATAATAAAATGCCAATCACCTCAGATTTCAAAAGTAATATCAAGAAAAATCAATCAACTACAATAATCTTGAAAATAAAAAAGCAGAATTTACTGGAAGAGACGATTTATTCAGCATTATTTTTTGATTAATGGGACATGACATTAGTAAACATAGCTTATCTAATTGGAAAGACATTTGGCCTACAGCCTGAACTAATGCGCATATAATATTAAAATATTTTTGAAAATTTTATGGAGAGCATTATGACCAAAAAAAAAAGAGATAAATTCATATCCAAACAAAATGGTCAAACATCGACACGTTCTATGGGGAATATGTACCTAATAACGTTTCCTAAAACATGAATGACAATAAAAACGATTTTTTAATAACATTTTCAGTCATTTCAGCCTTCAGCTTTATTTGGATACTAAAAACATTTTTTTTTGTTGTATTTTCGAATTGACATTCAGTTAAATATTGCGTAACGAATTGGTACAGCAGCCGAAAAATTGAAATCAGACTATGGAAACCATGAAAAATTGCCCATATAATATTTAAATATTCAAAATATTAACCCTTTTCCATCAGCAATGGGAATATTTTAAAAAGCAAATAATGCAGCCCATAGAAGATTAACCCCATCTTTCAAGATACAAAGCTCGTTTGAAAAGCATTGTTTTTTGTTTGTTTCATATAAATCATTCTGAATTATTTTTTGTTGTTGAGATATCGACTACGGGCAATATTCTAAGCGCAAAGTAGTACAGTTACATTAGGAAAAAAATTAGAAAAGGTAAATTAGTACAATGAAAACATTATTGAAATCAAATCCTGCATATATTAGAATTGACGTCCTGCATAAATAATGTTTGGAAAACATTGCTTAATTAATTTTTAATTTCATGACAATAAAGTTGCATCAATGCTCTGCTATATATGTACCTTGTATTCGCCCTCATTCTTTCATCAGTTCTACAATAACAAATATCAAGTCTGAATAATTTTGCTATTTCGATGATGAAGTTGTTTGTCTGGTATATCATACTTGGAAATCTTGCTATAAAAAGTTCCACATTGGTATATGATTTATTCATAAGTTGTTTCTGTATTTTCCGTGGACTTGTCGGCACGTGCGTGATATCAAATTTTAAAGTTTAAACGTAACTATATATTTATTCACGACTTGTTTTACCATCTTTTAAAAATTTTAAATAAAAATCTCGAAAAATCATTTCATTGGTTATATAATATCACTTTTACATAAAAATTGATTTAAAAAATACCATAAATAATATATAAAAATTGTATTCATTTGTAATAAGAATGAATAAGAGTTTCATTACTTTAAAACTTTCGGCAAATTTCATATTTTTTTTATTATATTAAGTGGAAAAAATTGTGGTTAAAAAGACGTATATTGTTGTTGTAAAACGCAATTATTCATATAAAATTTTGAAGAGCCAGGTTATTTTGGGGTTAAAATCTCTATTCTGCGATTGATACAGATCTTACCTAAACTATTGCTCCTCATTTTTTCAAAATATGACCCTGATTTATAACTTAGATAAAAAGCATGGAGAATCTGTCTGAAGGTTAGAATAGCATCATGGCTATATTGAAAATCAAATAATTTAAATTCAACTTTAACTTATAAAGTTAAGACTGACCAATTATATGTGAAAATAGCTGCATTGCCGTACATAACCAGATTCCACTCGATTAAAGGTTAGATACAATTAAAGTCTAGGGCTTATAGATAGATACAGTTCATAAATATAAAAAAAGAGCAATGTTCAAATATATGAACGAAAGCGAAATGATATCGAATTCTTAACAGAATCGATAATCTTCCTTAACAAAACTACGGTGAGTAATTTTTAATTTTGTTTACGCTATCGCACAAAACTTCAATGTGAGAAACGAATTCAATATAGAGCCCACAGACATTTTTGAAATAAAGGAAATTAACGGTTTGCTCGCGACAAAAACAATATTTAACCACTGTAGTAAACCGTAAAGTAGTTGGACTAGCGGTGAAAGAGAAAGACGATTTCTTCACATCGACAATACCAACAACAACAGTTGGAGAAAATGATCCATTGTCGACTTCGTGTCCAAAACAGACAGGCAGAAAGCAGATTACCTGAATATAATTATTAAACACAACTCACCCTTTCTTCTTCTCCAAGTAAGACGAAACTTTTGGCGAATCCCCAAAATAGGAATGCAGAAATCCAATGAGTCGTGGAAAGCATTTTGCAATATACGCTAAAACTACGTGATAAATGATACAATGAGCTATCTGCAATGAAATATATATGCTGAATGTTTATTTTATTTTTTTGCTCAAACACATAATTAATCGATTATAAACTTTGGCGTTATCTAATAGAATGTTGTGTAATGCCTTATTTCACAAATGGCTTATATACACAAAAGAAGCGCTATTGTCCTTAATAAGTTTTTCATTCTATATCTTTATTATTAGCGCATTTTCGACCCGTACAAGCAGCTACTGATATGTAACGATATGCATGGAACTATTCTTTCTGTAAAGACCAAAATCTAATTTTGCCCACCCATACCTGAGATTAGTAATCTGCGATACCAAAACAATTGAACCTTTGCCTTGTCACAAAAGCCATCGCACCCCAAAATAAATACAATAATTGGAATATTGAATATTAGAAGAGTTATGACTATTCAAGCGATGACAAAAGTCCAAATTATTTTGAGTATATTGCAAACTATACAAATCATATACAGAGAATATGCATAGGATTTCATTGACCTACTTGTAAGAATTATGCGAAAAGTATCATATGAAACTCAATATTGTTCTGTCTATTATGAGTTTCCCATTTCAGTGCAGATTGGTCTTTTGATTGACCCCTATCTATACAAGAACAGCCTCAGTACTTCAGCCAGTCTTTTTATACTACATTGCAACACGCATATTCGTACAGAACAATTATATTTCATCTACAGGTCTTGGGAAACACTGATCTTTGGCCTTTGAGGACACTTGTACCTGTACTTTTAAGCTCGTTAACTTGCGTAGTAACAACACTGAATTTTTAATCACCGTGCTTCTATGTACGTGTCTGTGGTTTCAACAGTATTCTGGTCCATTCAAAAAATAAAATCTTTGAACGTAGGCTTCATCATTATATGTTACATATGCGGCGCTGCAGAAGTGTATGTACCAATATGGAGGTAACTAATTTTGTTCGCCTACTTCACATCAAGTTGTGTAAAGGGACGGAAGCTTATGGGCAGGGGGTATACTCACTTGGCTAACACAGACAGCCTCCGAACTCGTAATAGAACTAAAATAAGAAAAACCGAAATAAAATTATGAGCTAACTCTGACCTGGAACATATACTACGGGAATATCAAATATGGTACATATATTTTAAAAATAAAAAGTACTAAATATACTAACACCATCCACACAATTCAACGAGCAATGAAAACGACTTGGAACGGCAATATTGAAATTTATTTATCTTTCTACAATTTCCTGAATATCTTCATACCAAGCAGTCATGAATGAAAGAACATTAATTTGTGAGTTGGATTTGGACAGCTGGATTTTGATGCATTTTGGACGAACTCTTAAATTAAAAAATTAAAAATTCTCAGTGTCTGAGTATTAGAACTATCATATCTGAAGCAATAAGGTTTCAGGGTAAATACAAATAATCTTAGCCAGCCAAACCTTGTTGAATAATCGATAAAACTCTCAAGCAGGCTATAAACTTTTCCAAAATTCTTTTTCGCGCAAAAGCTAATCCTAGTAGTGTTACTAGTTTTGAAATGAAGTACCAAGCCACGCTCAAAGCATAATATATGTATATTGATTTTTTATTCTCTTGGGGCAAAATTAGTTCGGGCTGACAGTTCGCTTGAACAGCCCTCACTCCCCCGAGTAGGAGCGAAGTTTTAGGATTATGCGCAAATGATATACATTGATTATATTAAAATTATTGCTTTATTGCAAGTTGGTGAAATGCGGAATTGTGTAAAAACATGTATCGTGTATTTCCGATTCGCCATTCGCGTTCAGTACATATAAAAAAATATAGTTATAGCAGAAACACGAATATGCTTAGTGGAATAAATTCTAAAAAATAAATTCATTTAACAAAGGAATGATTGCAAATTCATTGCCACAAACCTAGGTCGGAAGAATTATTATTTTTTCAAGCAAATGCTTTTTTTCGAAATTTAACAAAAAAAAGTAGCTAGTATCAACAATAAAAATTAATCGGGCATAGTACAAAGATTTTCATGGTTATAGTATAGTTATAGCATAAACTCGCACATCTGTAATGCTGTAAACTCGGTTCAGAAACAATTCAACAGATAAACAAACCTAGAATCCTGTTTCCACAAGACTACGCAAAAATGACTATTTTAAGAAGATAATATTTTTTCTAAATTTTATAATAAAAAAAGTTATTAGGCAACCACAAAACTGACAACAAATGCACATCAATGTTAATATTATCAAGGACAAATTTTCTCTGATTTTACACAACAATAATATTGATGAAATCTTTGATTGTTTATATATAATATTAGATGTCGAGTCGTTACAGTTAACAAAATGTTATAACCAAAAACCGAAAAGTTGTCATTTTTGACAACCTAAAAATGTTATCAAGTCAATTATGTGAGCTTGCTTTTATATGTATTGCCACAGCTACAGGATACACAACACACTGTATTACATTTACACGAAAACATTGATTATATTCTATTTTAGTATATATACATCCACCTTTTATACCATTGTTTGATGCAAAAATAAATACTTGATAATGTACTAACATTTTGAAAAATCGATATTCAACATTTTATAGATCTAATTATATTTTGATCAGTTTTGCTCAACACCCTTGGGAAATTTTTAGGTCATCTTTGGTAAATTTTGGGTTTCGATGCAAATATGCTATATAGATATTAATTATATTAAAACTATGATCCTCCCGTGTATTATCTATTATTATATCTCGATTCCGAGAACATCTTTTTGATATAAGAAAGACGATATTTTAGTGTTTTTATAGAAAAATACAATGCACCAATCAGAGCATATGTGCTTGCTGTCATTTCAATTTTTCACGGCACTGTGGCGAAGTAGCGAAGTATATTTTAGAAAGCTGAATTTTTTGTAGCAGATGTCACGAAATATATTCTCAGTGGGTTTATACTGTGGTGCGTACCTGTGAGATAAACCAAAATTTAGAAGATTCACTTTCCATTTTTCTATACTAAAAGTCATAATAAGGAAGAAACTACTTATTCAAAAAGGATTGATTCATACCAAACTTCGGCGAATGATTAGTGATCGCTTGCGAATATTTGGGCTAATTTACTTCTAAAATAGATATTTCTTGATATTTCTCTAAACAATTTTATTTAAAAATATAACAATGATACAGATTCTAAGTGATTAAAGAGTCTTTCTGCATGAAAACGGATTTAAATCTTGCCTTTGTTTCCGACTTTTCTCAGACGAAACGTTCAAGAAATATATTTGTGTTCTTTTCAAGGTCCCAATAGTCGGTAAATAAAGCGTCTCACTTATTATGTTGAATACTTTTAGCTTTTGTTAACTTTTTTTTATCAACTCTGCTTTGGCGATATGAAGCAGCAAGAATGGAAACATCATTATTGACTAGACTGAGAAGCACGAAACATTTCAAATTCTACCTCATTCATAAATCAATAAATTATATTTTTATTTTAGAAATAAATAGATTTTAGACTCGTGCGCGCATTGTATCTTTGGTTATCACATTAGGTATCCGGCTATCATTTTACGTTTCTTTTATGAAATATATTTTCATTGGGTAGAAAACAAAATTGTTTCAAATTGCTTTGCTCATACGTATTTTTAATACCAATTTAAGTTACTTTTTGAATGAATAACAAGTTTTGTCGTTATTATTTCAAAGGATATCATATTGCAAGCCCTTTAATTAATCATCAAGCGAACGTGAACTTTGCTACAACAAAGTACCTCCCTTTGTAGGGCGTGAATAAACGTAGTACAATATTGTTCTTACACTTATCTTTTCAGTGTACAACAACAAATTTTAACATTGAATATATAATTTTTTTTTTCAAATAATATGTAGATCAAATCACATCACCTGTTATTTTCCCCATAATCTGCACCAAAATACCTCAGCACACATGGGCGAACTGACGCGCTGTTGAAACAAAATACATCAACATTCCACAGCCAACCAACTTCTAATTTATAAAAATAATGCTAAAACCTTATATAATGAACCCAAGCATTGAACTTTTTATTTAATATGCGTACGTAAATAAACTCATCGAAGACCGAAGACTTGACATGTATGGTAACGAGCAATGCAAAATAGATGTAGCATGTTACTTTCATCGACGCATGTCTAATGCTCTCCTAATGACGGTATTAAAGTCCGACACAAGAGAAAAGTAGAATTAATAAATGATAAATATTATGCGCACGCACACATGATAAATAATAAATGAAGCAGTAGCAACATAATATCCGCAGCGTTGCAAGTCATTTCAGGAAACGGAAAAGTTCATATTTATAGTGATTATTAAAATAAATTTGTCGAAAATATGGAATTTCACTGTCAAAGTTAGTAAAATAGCTTATTTATCAAACTTCATTTTGCATTTGGGGGATATGGTGTTTTGAGTTAAATAATAAGCAAATATTCTAAAATTATGCTAGTTTAAAAACTTTGCTAATTATGCTTTTTTTACAAGTCACAAAAACTGAAATTTTCATATTCTCGGAACGCAATGTAGACGGCGGTTTAGAACGGGAATTGTAATTCACATTAATGTTTCCACATTGTGATAGATGATAGATGGACATTATGATAGATGAATCTACTCATTGGTGCGGTATGCTATACCTCTCTATAATCAGGAATTATGTTTTTGAACGACTTTAATCTTTAAAGTCGGTATAGACCTCCCAGCTACGGCCACGATCATCGATCTCAGATTAGTAAAATCAGAGGCGCCAAACGAACTCAACAAGATATACAACTGGATTACAAGTTTAACTAAAACAATGTGAAAAAAATGAGGTAAAAAAATCTGCCTCTGAGTAACTATGCTCGTTTGATTCTTCTTACGAACAATCGCACAACGTATTGGTTTGATTAAAGAAAAACTTCATTTCACTATTAAACTTATTGGAGTAACCACAATTGCACGCAGCAAAATAACTATGTTAATTCAGAAACCGTGTTCCATTACTGAGCAACACTTTTCTGTTCTGTAAAGTCTGAAGTCTAAATACTCTTTGGCCGTTTTGGGCCTTTGCTACAAATACGATGTTACATAAGACTGGTAATTTCGAACTTCCGTTGGTGTAAAAAAATCGATGGGTTCACTGACATAGCCACAAAGACACTTTTTAGACGAAGATGCAAAACCAAGAATTGAATCAGTTCAGCTGGCTTAGTTCACTGGTTTAGCCATTAAGACATTTTTTAGACAAAGATACGTTTCGTGCAAAACTACGGTTTGAATAAATGTTGACTACTGAATGCACATTTCGTGCGTAAGTGTCCGAAGTATGTACCTAAATGAATTAGCATTCCTCCACACCGTTTGCTTGACTAACGCCCTTTTCAAAATTTTGGCATGAATTCACTGTACAACAAGTCTTAGGTCTAAACTCAAAATTCCTTCGTTTCTTTCAAGCTCTTCTTTGATTAGTTATGTTGAATCATCCGCCAATCTGTTTATAAATTATCTCAAAAGCATATTAGCATAGTCGTGGAACCAAACACTACATGATATATAAAGATAAGTAGAGCAAGTACCGTTTTTGTTAGTCAGTACTCTGCCAATTCGCACCGATATACGAACTCAAGCTGAACATAATCTTCAAACTACGGAATAGGTTACAAAGGTTGTAGCGCATCGATTATAGAAGTGAACTCAGTTTTTTTAAAGAAGAAGGAAGAAAGTGCCTTTACTTTTCTATGAATACCATCTGATTTTCTCTACAAAAAGCTGTGTAAAATAACAAAAAACCGAAATTACCAAGTTCAAAATTCAAAATTATCGTAAAAGTAACTAAAATATTATCTAAGTCAATTTCACGAGAATATTAAGAGGCGTGTTTTTTTATTTTTGCATTTTGCGGTAAGATAAATATATTTAAGAAAAACAACAGAGTAATGAATATTATATCGAATGTGCAAAACAAAAAATTAAAAATCTTGACCTGTTGGTATAAGTTCTGCTATATTACCATACAGCCAAACCACGATGCATATACATAGATGGTTTTTAAACCTCGGCGACTATTTCATTCTTCGATGGACAGTTTCGTTAGCAAATCTCAGAGTGTTCGTTCTATTCAAAGACTACCATGTCCTCATACTCACTCTGGTCAATGTGATGGATACTACAATGGAATCGACGAAGTGTTCGTCTGAGCTATATACCAAGCTATCACAACTCAATTTAGGCCTAACTATGTCGTGTACTTTCACCCAAACGTAAAAAACCTGAACGTTCGCAAATACATTAACTCGGAGCATATGTTGTCAAACGCTTTTGACTTATGCTAATATTTCCTCTAATCCCCGTAATTAAATATCGATAAGTTCTCACCTGGCAATGTGTCTCGTGGCACTAATTTAGATAATTTTACAACCCTCTCTACGCTGATTTTTATTACTTACCACTTTCCAATTACTTGAAAACCAATAATCGGTAAAAGTATTGATTATTCCTTACGAAACAGAAGTATTCCACAACGAATAACACGGAAGCTTGTTCAGATTTGTCAATCCCTACATATAATCCATTTTATATGACGTATAATAATACGTCATTTATTGCAAAAGAGGCTCTGTACAAGTTCTAACTCTATTGGGTACTTAGCTACAATACTTTTAAAAAAGGCCGGAATATCCCGTTTCGAAATCAACTGCTCATCACTTATGCACTCGGCGAGCTAATGGGCACAGATTTTAATCTAGGATTTTTAACCAGCAATGTGGGAAATTAGTTTTTGCATCTGTGTTCTTCTGATATCAGTTGGTGCGTCATTTTTTCTAAAGTTATAATTTTGCAACTCGTCCGTACATGTGTGTATGATTATTAGCTTTGAATAAACCAAAGTTTTGTTTTTAAGTTAGAACCCCAGCTGAGAGATTAGCTTAACCTAATATATTCCCTGCATTGTAACCATGAAGAAGCAATTACCAATCTTATACCATAACCAGTTACTATATTTATGCGCGTTATATCAATAAATATTGCTAGTGTACAACCCATAACAAGTATTCACAAGTTATGCTTCGAATTACGTACTCGAATTGACCAGTTGATTTCAATGAGTAATATATGACGTTATAGTATCTGATCAGAAACAAGTTATGTTTGAAGATAATACAAAGAAGACTTTGCTATTTACGACTACCTTGGCTTGGAAAATCCCAAACAAAATAACACACTCGCTGCTATTCGTATTGTACCTTCAATAATTGCATTCTCACAGCGATCAATTTTCAATTCACCTCACTGCAGTAAGCACACTTTGGAATAATAAGTCGTCTTAAGCAGCCGACGTTATGTTTTTGTTCTCTATAACAAACAAAAGAAAAAAGCGACTGAACGACCGATCGATTGGACGAGTACCTGAATTTTTAACAGCGTTACTACGTAAAAGCATACGATAATTGCAATGGCTTTTACTGATCTCTGCTTTTTTGACTGTGAATATTCAACCAAGCTCGACAATAGAACCGTAAACTGTATCTGAGCTTTTATTATATGGGTATTAGTTGGCGAGGTGCAAAGTACTATAGTGTATTAACTGAACAATACTGTTTATATAAATTGACGGTAGTAAATTTTTGTGGCTAAACCTCGAGAACGGGTGCGTTATTTTTGACAGGTTTTTCGGGTTTGAAGCTATCAATTTTTTATTAAAGAGCACACTGTCAGTTTTATGACCTCTGATGACCTGTGACTAGTCATTTAAAATAACCGTAAAATGACTAAACTATGTTTAAACTTTGGTTTAAGAGATAGGATTTACATCTTTATCCCGCGAAAGAGGAAAGCCGGTAAATCCTAATCCTATGGCGAACCACGACCTCTCGTCCGGTTACCAGTCCATGTCGGGTATAGGATTGTTAGTCAGTCATTGTTTAGGATGCATAGACTTGATGGCGGAGGAAGCCGTAACCGATCAGCGGTTACGTGAACCACCCTACTGAGGCGAGGAGTAGAGTAATATTGTCGCTAATAAGTATCCCTACGAGATTCGAACCTGTAAACCCAAGCAGTGATGTGCGATGACAAACCCAATTCTAACGTTTTGCACGATGCGCCACACCTTATTCAAATATCAGTATTTTGGAATATTCATGTGCAGCATAGACAATATATCAAATATCAGAGTTTATAGGATTATATGTGTAATGTAATAGGCATATGAATAAGACACGTGCATTCTAATCCGGGATAATCCAGGTTAATGGAGTAAGGTAGACGTTCAGTTGGGTGTTATGTTTTGAAAGGAAACGGACGATATTAGGAGGGATAAGGGTTAGAATATTTTTTCAGGAATGGAATTTGCTTTACGTGCACAAACATGAATTTTATAAAATGATCATAAACAGATATAGTTTTTAGGTCGAAGAACGTAGAACATTTTTCGAATAACAATTTGGATTATTATTAGAAATATTAGGTGCACATATTAATATTCACATATCGCGCGAGTAATCACGTCGGATCCTTATTTTTCTAAAACATCTGCAGTGATAAAATTGTACTTTAAGTCCTGTGCTTCTTACTTGGCACAAATTCTATCGGGCGTGACAGAGATGAAAATTCAGAACGACTAGGTATTTGTTTTCAATGCATAAAAGTTCTTTTTCAGATACAAGAAGGTGAAGATACACGTGAGTGGGTAGATTAGAGACTTCATGTTATGGATAAAATGCTGCCATCCATCTACACCCAATTGTATAAATAATCATTTTTAAAACCACAGGTGATTTAAAATTGCATGGAATTGCCTATTAGATTGGATGCAATGAATTCGGTCGACACTACCCAATCAAAAAGATATTTGACATTACAAAAAGGGTAGCTTTTGCCGAATAGTGACAGTCTTTCTGGAGCTTTTGAAAGGAAAAAGACAAGAGTATATTAGGGCCCTAGGCCACTTCCTCAAACAGTATTTGTGACGAAGATTATGATATTAAACCGACTGCGTATACCGTGAAGGTCGTGATTCCTGATTATGTTACATATGCCTGTATGAGCAAACTACGTGTCGCATCCTTGCAATAAAGAAAAGAAAGGAAAATGTAATTGACCAAAGTGCAGGTTTGTGGATATCTCGACAGATCTTTCTTCCTGTGAAAGGATATAATTTATCGTGGCAAACCTGTCATGAAGTATCCGAAAATTGAGATGTAATAATAATACTGGTCATGACGATTACAATTCTTGATTTCCAAAAATATTGAAAGTTGACAAAAAAATAGTCTCTCCTCTTAGATTGTTACTTTATTTTTTTTTTTTAATTTTGACCGCTTGACCCCGATCGCTTTGTTGTTCTTCTCTAAAATTTGTTATTTGTTTTGAAAATAAAGTTTAGTACGACCTAAACTTTGTTGAACAATTCTAAATAATTCTAGAACAAAAACGACATGTATTTAATGCTATCTTTGTGTATATACTCTATATGAGCATATTTTTCTCTTGGTCACTTGAAGATTTTTTATACAGCACTTTGACATAGCGAAGTATTTTTTAGTATATATGACTCAAATTATATTCCAAAGACTCAAAGAAAAAATATTTATTACTCCTGTTATTACTTCGATATATTTTTTTTTCATTCCTCAGTTATATATCTAATTTGGCAAATTCTTCTATTGTATGACAATAAATGAGCTTTTGCAGTCAAATTCAGACGTTCATACTGTCTACTATATATATCATTCCACACAAGCAACAACCTTAACATTGTGTAAATATTTTATTTCACAGTTCTACCTCGGCAGCCAATCACATATTCCTTACACGTCATTAATTTTTAATTGCAAACTACTGTAAACCTTAGCACGCTTCAAGCTTAATGGACTGATCACATTTTCAATCCCGACAATGTAAATTGAACTTTAAACTATGAAGATTTATTATGATTTATTGACCCTAAATAAAGCCAGATTTTATTTCATAAAAGGTTCTTTTAGCAACAGGTATTAGATACTCAGCCATACTTTTTTTTGACAATTCATAGTTGACAATCTACATCTAAACATTCATATTCTAATCTAGACCGAATAGAGTTCCGCCACAGCAGTCCAGGGGGTTCGGCGAGTTTACGTTTCTTTTTATACTTTATTTTTTATTTTCTTGCTTTGTTTTATCATTATAATATTTTAATTATTTATGCTTATAGTTTTTACAATTGTTTTTACAGGGTTACAAGTATGGATAGATTTTCTGAAAAAACATAAATATTGGACAATTGAACTATTGTACAGGGTTTTTCGAGCCTATGGATTGTTTGATCGGGATTCCGTTCCGTTGAAAAAAAAGATGGAAAACCAATGAGATGAACATTGAAAATGTTACCAAGCATTCCTGGTACACATGAAACTGTCGCAGGGTAATCATGTTTGTTTTACTTATTACACAGTGATTTCAAACATACTCGTAAATAATAGTTAAAATCTGCGCGAAGGCGCAAATTTAAAGCTTGAAGCAAAATATTGCGAAGTGTTCACGCGAACTACAATAAAGAGAAAAGGGAAATGCAATAATATTAGGAAACTATTGCACCGAAAATTTTTTTAAAAACTGTATTTACAATTTTTTTCATACATGTAAGTTTTTATATAATATTTTATTTATGAAATTTGTCAAACTAACATTCACCGTAAGAGAAATCATTTATATTTTCTATGTCGTTTGATATTACGACAATTTTCACTGTATTTAATAAGTGAGTTACGTAGCCGTTCAGTGACATGTTTCTACCTTTCTTTATCATTTACTTTTTTCCTCCATAATTTTAATATTCATCTGATAGTACAAGACATTCTGTGTTAAATATTCATTTGAACGAAGTTCGCAGAACTGGGTTAATGTACATTTCAGCCACTTTTGTTGTCAAGATTTTTTGACATTTTGAATCTATTTAGTGTACAAAAATTATATCTGAGCAATAACTAAACAAACATCTGAGAAGAAGTACACGCCCTCTAAATGTTTTTTTTTTTCACTTCCAAATTACGTGTGCCACATTGAAATCAGTCGTGGTGCGCGACCAGCAAGGACTCAGATTGTGTCATGAGTATTAGACAATAAAATATTTTTAAACACATTTGGTTATCCAGTGGAAGATTTAATTTACCCTTTTGTGGGATTTTATCAATACGCTCTTTTACGTATATCGACTTATATAACTATATACTTATAGTTAGATAATTTATTCGAATGGCTTTTAGCTAGACGATGTAGACCGCACAGGCAGGCTTAAGTGCAGAGATATCTTTATCAACAATAGGAGAGACTCGGTCGCCGTGAACTCGTGAAAGGGAATTATTTCGTTATTTTATCAAAATTATTTCAATAAAGTGTTTCGCAAAAACGGTTATAGAGTTGATATACGTTTCTTCGAACTCAATCCTTCGTGGGCCGAAACGTCTATATTCACAGCAGATTGACCTTTTATGCTATGCTTTGTTTACGACACCACTGTAAGATGCTCAAGCTATACCATTTTAAGAACTACAGAAGTATGTGCACCAATATGGCGGACACCGGAACGTAGTATGCGTACCAGGTTAAGGTGAGACTATAGTTTGATTTCAATTTTCCCTATTTTAGTTCTATTACGAGTTCGGGAACTAGCCAAGTGACTCCTGTAGTATTTTTTCCTCAAATTATGGCCCAACCCTAACCTGGTACACATACTACATTCCGGTGTCCACCATCTTGGTGCATATACCTATGGAGTACCCATATTTGTGTGCTATTTCTGCAGCGTCGGGCTAAAAATATCTGTATACCAATCATGTTGACTTTGTTCAGTATGCTTCGTTAACAGCACAGTTAGATTCATTTAGGTTTATGGCAGTCAGTGTATAACAGATAAATAGTTATAATATTTTTAAATCTTTACAATTAAACTTGATGCCATGAACATGTCGTGCACACATGAGAATCTGAATTCAGTGATGTGAAAAATTGAGATTTTGCGACTCATAAACAAGTTGTTCAACTTATTGATCGTTAACATGTTTGATTAATTGCAATGAACAATCATTTTTGCCAGTTATTTGTGTTTTACAACAGTCATTGCAAATTTGCTGTTAGTCGCAAATAAATAGCTCCGATTTTTCCTCGCATAAATGCGTGCTTCAAATTCAACAAAGAATCATCTTTTTCTGGAATTTCTGTATATAACATCAAAAATATTTGACAGTTTTGCTGCGGAGTTTCCGCAACTTATGTACAAACAAGATTCTCAGTCTAAATTAAAAGCTGCTACAATTGCGTATCTATAACTCCCGCGAATTGAACTAAGTTTATAGATGAATATAGACACGCATTGTTTTAGTATGAACTAGCTAATACACGTTAGGTTGAGGAGGAACACAATACTGTCACTGACTTGATACTATCGAATAAATTGTACAATAACTCCTTTTCTTGCTCTATTATTTTTCAAAGGCAAATGAAAAATAAACCAATCTCATCCAATATATCTTAAACTATATGTCAAAAAATTCTGACAGCGGATGAAAAAAATATATACATTGTAATATTGGAAGAAAGAACATTGTCGAGTACGTACATTTTACAGTTCTAGACGTTTTACAGTTTTAGATCATATTGAACATCATCGAGCAAGCAAGTAGTTTCAAGCTCTACCATTGTGTTTTGTCCGCAAGGTTTTTCGAATCGAGTAAACACATTTTTAAGGTAACTCTAAAGCAAGGCCACAGGCATTCACTAAAAAGTGAAGAAGATTGATTTCTGTGAGTGAGGCCACATTTACCGTGCCAAGAGATACCGAGACAATACAGAAATACAGTGAAGATTTAGGCTTTAGTAAATAATGATTGACACCAAAGCAGTTCAGTTCAAAACGGTCAGGAAAACACATATTAACCAGGGAATTCCATATGACTAGAGTTTTTGAATGAAACAACTTTGGGCGTAAATAAATTTGAGAGTTCACAATGCACTTGATGACTGAATGACTTTTGATTGGGAATTGAACTCGTTTTGGAGACAAAAATCTAGTTATAAAGCAATCAATACTTCATTCAATTGAGCAGTTGCTCATTCAAAAATATTGGGGTAAAGCTCATAACAATGTAGTAAAACAGTGGATAAATCATCAAAACTTATTGCAGAAAAATTAAAATGTCGTTCAAAATTAATTTTAACTTGCATATATAGATAGTAAAAAGATAAATTTGTCAATCTATAAGATGAAAATTATACTGAAATGGAAAAAATGGATCAGCGATTTCCAAGTTTGCTCGTTTTTTTCCTTGTGAAATATATAAGTGTTTAGGCCGTTTTGGGGTTTTATATTTTATATTAAACTTCATACCTTCTAGTGTTTAGTGCACAAATATTAATTTGCAATTAAGAAACTTTCTATATTAATGGCGTTATGATGTACTGATCATAGAAATGACATTAATGAAATGAACTCATATTAGATTTATTCTTTATAAATTATATTTACAAGACTACAGAAAACTGCAAAATTTTTGCTATTTAGAAATAAAGACAAGTTCATTTTTTCAAGCTTTAAAAATCAATCCTGCATGTGTTACGAGAAAGGAGAAACACACAGTTTTACCGCGTAGGGGAATTCTCAGAAAACCAAAGATGGTTGTTGAGTAGCGACACCTAGAAACAGCTGATGAAAATAGATAAAAATTAGCAGTGTCAAGATCCCTTTCATAATAATAGTTGAAGACGAAGAAACAGTCTTGATTGGCGCAAAAGTAACTTTATGTGTTTTAAAATCAGTTTAAAAATATTATCTGCGCAAGATGAAAAAAATTACGGTAAAACAATATGGCATGTTTTCGCCAATCAAACGACACATCAAGAGTGAAATATGCCACTGATTCATATAAAAAAAACTCTGGGCATTGATTGGACAGAAATAATTCAAAATTAATTGATCATATCAAATACCAAATTATATCTCTCAAGGGCTTATATGTTGTTCGGTTGGGCATTGCGAACCAAAGCTAGTTAAATATTTTACGATGAATATTTATTCTAAAATTATTCTTCATAATATTATAGGTTTTGTGTAAAATGCGTCATGAACTTTACAGAATTGTTTTAACAATAATCAAGTTTAGAACATTTCTGTAAGTTTTCAGCATTTTCAAAGTAACGTTTCTACATATATATACATAAATACATATATGGGATAAATAATAAAACAATGAAAAACAAGTTTCGTTGTTCACAATTATTACACAGACAACGGAGAAAATATCGAGTATGCATAGAAAAATAACAATATAAAAGCATAGCAGGTTAGGTCCTACAGGATAATATAAAGCCTAGATTGTGTATTAAAATGCTGCATTAGAAAGCGCAAGAATATTTTTTTTATATGCATTCACTTATTACACGTGAATTAGTAATTTATTTCGCACGAAACAACTGTCAAGTATATATTAATAATATCACGCGGTATTTTTTTCTGTGACTTTTATCGGAATATGAGATTGTTAAAAGTTCAAAAAAACTGTTCTCGTCGTAGAAGAAATTTTTTTTTGCGATATTTAAAGCGGGTGAAATTAAATTAAAACATTTCACCTGTTATTAACGAGATTAAAAATAACTCTCAATTAATATCAAAAACTAATGTCAGGCATTGGGTTTCACACTTTTTGTATCAGGACTCAATAGTGCGGTCCAAATGTGCTGAAGCGAACATGAATTACAAATTTGACGCATGACTGAGAAATGTACTTGGGATATGAGTTCAGACATAGGTTGTTTTTCATCGAATCTAAACGAATTTTCAACAACTGGATAGATGCCATAGGGGCAGTTTTATAATGTAACGCTATACTTCAGCGTCCGACGACAGCGAAATATTATATATTGCATATACTTATGGAGTACCCATGTTGACTTTGTTTAGACAGCGAAATATTATATATGTAACTTATTCTTCTACTAAATTAAATTATTAGTAATTAATACAGAGAGTTGTAGCATATAGATACAAAGAACATGTTTTGGGATATCTGTCTTTGCAAAATGTATGAAAAAAACACATGACAGTCTAACTAATGCTGAAACAGCAACTTTTCTTTTTAAAATCATGTTCCACGAGTCTATTAATTAATCACCCACTATATATTACATTGTAGACCTCCTGCTTTTCATTTGGTTGTTTGGCGTCGTGATTGTCGCCATTGTTTGTCGGTTCTAGCGCAACATCGTCATAGTTGTGGCGCACTTCGTCCCCGTCTTTTGTCCAATTTGGGTCCTCTGCGACTTGGTCGTATGCTGGCCCACGATTTTCGCGTTTGCCTGTTGCTTTTGCACTATCTTCGTTTACAGAAGAATAAAACACAGCACCATCATCTATTGACGCGTATGCTCCCGCTTGGTTGCTTTCCCCGATAACTGTTTGGTATGCCTGTGATATAAATTGTGATAGTCAAAACACTGTAGTACTTCAATTGTAAAAATATGGTACTCTTGAATTATGGTAACCCAAATGTCGGACATCGGAACGTAGTATGTGTACCAGTTTAGGGTTAGGCTATAACTTTATTTCAGTTTCCCTTATTTTAGTTTTATTACGAGTTCGGGGACTAGCCGAGTGCCTCCCTTGTAGTATTTGTATCTGAAAATATGACCTAACCCTTACCCGGTACATATATAACGTTCCGGTGTCCGCCATCTTGGTTTACATACTTCGAGAGTAACAAAATATGGAGTTGTAATACACAATAAAATAAACTTTTATGTGGGATAAAACGGGATAATTGGAAACCGAAACATTTGAGCCTGGTAGAATATATACAATCATCTTAATATACCAGAGCACCTAATATTTCATTTCGTTTATTAATATATAGTCATATGAATACTAGCATAACAAAATGTGAACTTTTTTGATGGAAAATTAAAAAAAATGTACAACTAGTTGTTAAGCAACGATCTAAGCTCTGCCTGTGCCACTTTGCTATGGTACTATAAAAGTAATCAGATGCGTGATCACACTAGCTTAAAGTGATCTCAGTGACACCAATTGTGGGTTTTCAATTACCTTTCTAAAGACTTTCTCGTAGATTTAAATTCATAACTCTGCCATCATTGTGTTATGGTTAGGTTAATAGGAAGATCACTGAGAGCATACGAAAGTGGCACCGCATCACCAACGTTTCAAATGTCGGCACTGACAAAGGGCATGATCTCAATAGAACGGCATCAGAAACGTCGGCAAAACGTATAGTTAACTATTTCGTATTGTGAATTTATCTACCACGAATAAGCAGAGTAACATGTTCTGTCTAATACAGGCGTGTGCAACAGGCCACAATCCGCCCCACCAAGCGATTTAGAGTGTCCCTTGTCAAAATTTAGATGCTAATCCGACAATTTGTTCAAAAGGCGCCCACGTGGGTAAAATTATTTTTTTGCTCTTGTCGCTGCGTTAAATCTTGCCCGTTGTGTACGGTGCCTTTATAATTGTAGATTGTTGTATGCATGGTAAAACTAAGTTTTTTTTTGTGCCCAGGTTGGTTATATGGCCCACCGACAAAAATGCTACACACCCCGGTCTGATACATAGAATAAAAATATGTATACAACACTTAGCATTTTACCTGATTTCCAAACGATGAACCAGTTTGCTTATTTGTATCAATATCGATTTGTTCATATCCTGATGAGCCTACAACATTGTTCGGCTTGGGAGTATTTTCGACATCAGTTCCGCCTTGTCTGCGTCTATTTTCAACTGCAATTTTCTTGTGCCTGAACGCAAGTATTCATTTTGATTAATACCCATCCAATAGCACAAAAAAACAATATACATAGCGTTCCATTATATAGTGGTTGTATACAGTGGTGGGATTCTATACATAAAGAATGGGTTACTATTTGTATCGAACTCACTGACAACTCGCTTACAATTATATATTTTCGAGTATTCAAGATTCGTTTCGATTCGAAAAAACTATTCGATTCGATTCTGAAATCACAAGGTATTCGAAAATGCCCAGCCCTAGACACGATTTACAAAGATCTAATAAATGACTAATAAATCTTCAAATATACTACTGGTCGTCGACTGTGGTGCGCTTTTATAAGATTTTGGGATATGAATGACCTTTCAAGGATGGGTTCTTGCGAACCTGTACCAACCAACTGAATCTTACCAAATAATACACGTGGTTGCCAAATTATAGAAAAATCATCAAACTCTGTATAAAACAAATACCACTGGAGAGTCCATAAAATGGATAAATAATAAAAGTCGGACAAACAGACAGACAGACGAGCAGACAGAAAATTAGCATAAAACAGAAATACACGGCAGGGTGGGGAGGATGGGACGGATAGTCGTAACTGGCGGGACGGGCAGTACAATTGAGACAAACAGACTTGTAAAAATGTGATAGCCATTGGTTAAATAGGTAAAGATCAAATCGATTTTACTAACAGCAACAACATGAAATAAGAAAAATCCGTTCACAGATTAAATTCATGTTCAAACAAATAATATTAATGATAGTATCACCACGGCACTATTTAACACTCTATTTGGCTAGATGGTAACAATAAAATTATCAGTAAAATTTACTAATTATTTTATTGTGCTTCCCAGAGTGTGAGATTACTTCCTTTCTTATGATGATATTGATTAGAAATAGGTACGACCAATTATGAATCATTTATAAAGCTTGTGAATTTATTCATAGAGTCTTATAAATGACTATGGTTGGAGATAAACTTGAAAAGACTTGTGAAGTCAAGTCAAGTCAGTCACACGTCTTAACATAGTGGCAATAATCAGTTACATGTCATTGACACCAACGTACTAGACAAACCAAACTACTAAACTACTAGACCACAAACCTCTATCGGTCTCGTGGTCATTTAATCTGACTAACTTAACTATTCCAATCTGAACTCGTTCAATATTTCAACGCTTCTAGTCGAATTTATAATTGAATTAAAAAAATGGAGTCTCAGGGTTGGTAACTAATATATCTATATTTGATTTTAAACTAAATGAGCGGGATCGCGCTTTGAGTAAACTTGTTCAGAAATAACAAAACTATATTAAAAAATATAAGTTTTGCAGCCCATTTGCAGAATTATGATTTATATGACGCCAAACAATCAGCCTGCCCTAATGTAATACTCGATGTTATGTAAAAACATACAGTACCTGATTTTTAAAACGACCAATAGGAATATAATTCCAATGAGTAAAATCACAACAATTGGAATGAATATTGAAAGCAGTTGCATAGCAGGTGAAATGGTTGTATCCAGGCTGTTTCCCATTGTTGTATGTGATGGCGGCGATCCCGTGCCAGAAGTGTAGTTGCTATTCTGGCTTTCTGCAATGATTACATAAATAACAAGAGAGCAATGTCTAAATTTATGGAGAGTCAGCAATATCATAGCAAAATATTTGAAAATGTACTGATGTCATATAAAGGGTGCACGTAAATAATATAAATCTACTCTATACCGGAAAGACTTAAAAAATTCTGTTTGATATAAAACCTACTCGTAACATGCATGTCAAAACTTGAATCAAAACGGACTAAAAGTTAAAATTTATGGTATGAATACGGCAATAAGTGGATTGTTTATTAATGAAACATAATGAAAATAAAATCACTGTAGAAGAATAAAAATTTACCCAGACCTTGTTGGAAATTGTTGATCTAGGAAGTTGTAAAAACTATATGTAAAAAGTCCAGAAACAGGCCCGACAATAAAATTGAAGAATGTGCGCAAAAGACTTCTTGTTTTTAAAAATTACTTCAGAAGTGTAGGTAACTTTGTGGTTTTATATTTGTGTGTTGCTCTCGTGTATTCGTTAATATTACCAGTTACATGTATGTGAAATAAATTATGCCTTTACCTGGGACAGCATTCACAGTCGGAGAACTCTCAATCTCATTTTCCTTTGTAGTACGTGAGTCAGTTATTTCTGCAGGTTCAGTGGTTTGCTCAGTTTCTGGAAAATAAAACATCAACATTGGAAAAAAAATTATATTTTTTTTTGAATAATTGGAAATTTCATTTTTAAAAATTAAATATTCAAATGTGGGAGTAGGAGATCAAATCAATAAAATAATTGTTTTCTTTTTTCCCCGACTGCATAAAGAGTACCTACGTCAAGCAAACGATCAACTTTTCAGTTATTATACAATACACTAAACTTGCAATGGTAAGCGGGTAAATGAAAAAATGAGCAAATCATTATAAGTCCTCTTATTGTTTTCTTCCAATTCGAGATATGAAAAACGAAACGAACATATTATCGAATACAAGGCAATCTTACTAGATTGAATTTGTATAATTTTTCTTACTTGTGAAACAATGCTTGAACGTGTAGTTCAATGCAAATGCTGTGTTATCCTTGTTTTCATCAAAAGTTATTTGGAGTGGGTAGTCGGCTTTCACGCAGTTTTTAGAGTCGTCACAAGATAGACCACATGACGTTGGATAAAAAGTGTATTTGAATGGAAAAGTTTCATTGCACTTATCAACATCTAAAATGAATGTAAAAATGTTAAATTCCCATTTATATTTGGGCATAAGGTTTATATTTCTTTGTAACTGCCGTTCGTGTAAAATCTTGCGGTTATACATAAGCATATGTATATTAGTGAGTATTACCAAATCAAAAAAGCAGTCAAAATCAGAAGTACCTAAAGGCAAAGGGCCAAGTCTTCATGACCTTCTGGATTTAAAGATTGACAAAATGGAAAAAAAAAATTTTTTTTTGAATTGATGAATAAGATTTGAACAAAATTCCACCACATATATTGAGTACGCAATGAACACATGCTGAACAACTCGTTTTTTTTGTAATATATATTTTTATGCAGTTTAACTTGATCAGCGGTTCATTTTTAACTAATGAATTACAAATTTTGTGTATAATGATTTTTCCAAGTAAATCATTTTATATACAAATGATTTCTGGTTCGTTTAAGCATTAGTATTAATTTCAATGCGTCTTAGGAAAATTTCATTCTGTCGTCTCAATAGTCATTTGCAACTGCTTCGATAAAAGAATGTGTTTTTTTTTTTTAATACTCATCTATTTGACTGAAGCTTGAGCTGCCATTATAATTGTTCAAAATTCAAATAATTTGAAAAGTACAAGTTTTATTACCTTTAATTATGAATTTATCTTCACAATCAGTTTGAGTAACATTTATAGTCAGAAATAAATCTGTTCGTTCATCCGGAGGGCTAAAATTCCATCGGCACTTTCCGTCAAAACCTTCATGTCTTGAAATTGTTATTGCATCCTCGTATTTATTGTTTACTAAAATAGGTTCATTTTCGGATTGGTCAGTAATGGAGCATTTTCTTCCCTTAATCGATAAATTGCATAGAATTCCTGATAAAATATATAAAACGTCAATTTAATTACCTTGAAAATAAACGAGTTAGAATTATTTCATACCATGATTCTCATATATTTTCATAAAATTATTCAAAATTAGTTGCAATATCAAACAAAAAAAAATTTATGTGTTAGAAGCTTTTTGAATTTATTTGTTTCAATTTTGAGCACTGTATTGGGTCATTATCACAAGTTGTAACCTTGTATAAGGTATATACTTCGAACAAGGTTATAAATAAGTGGATACATGTTACCTTATCAATTACAAACAAGCTAAGCGGTTTTAAAATGATTCCATTCAAATTAATTTGGCAATATTTCTATCCTCATTATTACACTCATTACAAGATTTGCCTCATGACATATAAAGAGGAAATTATTTAACAGAATTAACAAACTTATGCAAACTCGCTAAGCACTACGCTGTTTGTTAAAGAAATTCACTATCATCAATGAACGTGGACATTTTGTCTTTATTTTTTTATGAATGTGGGAGACTTGAAAAGTATCAAATAACATTCAATGTAATATTCAAATGTACAAATGAAAATTTTTTTGAGTTTTAATCATTTATAAAATAAAAAAAATAACTATTATAATGGTAGTTTCATATGGTGCGAAATAGCAAGTACAGCTCATAAAAATAAATATACCCATGAAATATATAATCTGATAATTTCATTCAGCATATATATCGACTACTTTATACTCTATGAGGAGGTTAGTCAGACATATTCTGATTATACGAACTCATTTGCTACGGTGCATCACTGCTGATTTTATGACGTCATTAAAATCACAAGGTACCTATCACATACGTGACAAAACACATCAATGCCTACTATACTAATCTCAAGAAATCACGAAAAAAAAAACAGTAAAAATTCCATATTTGATTTAGTCAAGGACAATCGGGTTTAATATGTTAATATTTTTTGCATAATAACATAAAATTCCGAATCCGGAAGGCCTTGAAAACTTGAATTTTGTCTACGACACTGTGACGTGGAATTTGCGTGTTTATTGCCAAAAGTTAATTTGATATTATTATCTCATTAGACATTCAGGCCACTTTAAGGTAAAGACTGTAAATTTTAGTCGAGGTGAACAATTGCAAAATTGAAAATTAATAAATTGGGTATTCGTTGGCTAAATAATTTAACAATTAATAAATAAATTACAATTATATAAAATTAAGTATGTTGGCGTTAAAAATTCTTAACTCTAACACCGTTTCCCCCCATAACCCTTGGTGGAGTAAATTGCTCACATATCGGTGACTTTTTGAGTGGCATCTCAAAAATATGAGCACGTCAGTGAGAATAAATCATAAATCTTAGATATTTACAATATAGTATATTACCCACCGATCAATAATACGCACACAACAATGCTTTGCAAAGATTCCATATGGTTTAGTTTATTCTAAATAAAACCTGTAAGTTGAAAAATGTATAATTATACATGCAAATACAGAACAGTCTTGATTCTAATCGTTGAAAATAACAATTTTTCGGAAGAGTGTAACTGTCGTTCTCAATTCAGAAATTATTTCCGGGGAAGGCAAAAGCAGATTTAATATCTTTCTGGTATGTCTAACTATACTCCACATGTCTGGTCAGGATCAGCAGAATTGTAAATTACGTTATTACTGCGACAAGTCAGAAAATATTTTTGCATGAACTACCACTCCGCCCAGATGCAAATCGTCAGATGCAAATTGAAAAAGAAAGCGATTATCTTACTTCCAATAAAGCACTTCGGTGTACACTACATTATTACCTTTATTTTCGCCTCTATTTCTCACATCATAGTCGTCAATTGTGGCCGACTAACTTCAGGCATAAACTACATCGGAATCAAAATCTACAAAACCAGTATTAAAACCCTAAAGCCAAGTTCGTGTCTTATCTAGCAGTCGAATCGACAAATTTAGATGTATTGCAAAGCGCAATAATCAATCTCATGACTGTTCTGTTTGTTTGAACCTCGGCAAATAATAATCAATGACACCTCTTATCTAGATGTTGTTTGCTCTAAACCAGGGGTCGGCAACCTATGGCCCGCGACGCTTCACTAAATTATAGTAACAAAACATCCGTTTTGACGAATATATATTTTAGACTTAATTATAATTATATTATAACCTAGCAATTATATATTTCACAATTACTCGTTTAATGCGCATATAATGTAATTATAATTGAGCAAATGGCAACAAAACGCAGAAAAGTTGATGGTAAGTGCAAAGGGCTCAATGGCGCTGAAAATATTCAAATGGAATTTTCTGAGATGCAATAGGGAGATAAATCTATATTTTATTTGCGAGATGTATCACAGCTTAATTTTTCTATCATACAAAGTAACATCCGTTCGGTTTTTCAACTTTCTAAAAATATGTGTGGTATGCCAATGACTTGCAACCTTAATTTTGGCCCGAGAGCGACAAAAGGTTGCCGACCCCTGCTCTAAACGTTCAAATAAGGCTTGTTAGTCATGTACATCTAGAATATACAAGTTTATTCTACTTAATTCAAGAATCTTAATGGCCATACGAAATGTTACAGAAATAAATTTGTGTCAGTATGCAGCAACATTCTTGAATCGAATAGAATGGTCATTTTTATTCTTGCTACCGCATTCTTGCATTGAACTCATACGGATCGACTTGCAAAAAATCATAGAGCAGTGAAAGGTAGTTAGTTTCCCTTAACGCCAATTAATGACTACATCTTTATTATTGGTATTTTGCATAACAACATGATTAGTTGAAGTAATTATTTCTACCCTGTATAGCCCAGCTAAACATAGGAATTGGATTAACATGACTAAGCAGACTCACTCGCACTTAATCAAATATTTTAGATAAATGAATTTACTATAGATCGCTTCAAAAATAAGCTACTTTATCAAGTTTCAGGTGAGTGCCTGCAACTACATGTAATCCATCTTGTCATTCGTCTCAACACCGCATGTGGTTTGATATTTTAAAATAAAATTACGGCAAACGGATGGCGTATAGTTAGTTATACTAACTCTATCAGGAACGGATTATGTATCGAACTTTCTAACAACAATTTCTTCATTTGAGCATGTTGCCATACCGACAGGTACACGCTTTACAGTACATACCTTTCGAAACACCTAATTTAACGCTGTAGTCATCACCTGTTGCACCCATTTTCTGTGATCTAACGTGTAAATCAAAATACCAGAACGGGTTCGCTGATATGGCGCGAAAACCTATGCAAACCCGAAGAATCCTATTACTGGTTAAACCCATCTTCAAACGACTATAGCGTATAATTTGCTGTAATAATCTAACGCCTTAATCCAAAAGCCTGCTGACCGCCTACTTGAACAGTTCCTGTTATTATGCGAACACTAGATCTGCCAGCATATTTTTTAAGCTTGCAATTTGAACCGAACGTTAGTCATCGCTGAGTCATTAAGATCCTACCAACAAACAGTTTATCGCACGTATAGTTGAATAATACAGCTAAAATAATAACAGTCACGTGTACAGTGTGGATAGAAAATATATTGAACAGACGTATTCTTAACGAATATTTTAAACTAATAATTGGACAATTAGATTTTAAAAGTAGTTTCAAGAATTTGACCAATGAATTCCTAACATGCACAAGAAATAAAGAATAATTAATCAGAATGCATCACAGCTTGGAAGACCTCTTAAATACCACTTACTTAACTTAAATATCACAAGTTTTTTGCCAACTTTTTTATAATGAATCTAAAAGCATATGATCAATCTTAAATTGTTCGGATATGAATGTACTAGCATGTATTAGAAACACATAAAGCAAACTGAACCTATCTCAAACGAATGATTGCTGTTAAATGGCTTATCTTTGACAAGTTCTTTTTTTTATATGAGTTTGCTACTATCAACTATGAAATTTAATACCGACAATACCGACTAATACTGACTGCATTTTTAAAGTCCATGGCTATTTCTATTGAGGTAGTAAACACTCGTCAAAGAACAATATCAATATTGTTGGATAAGTTTCATCCAACAAAATAGCAGATACAGTAGTCTTACTAGTAAATTTTCAGTATCAGGAATTTTTCGGTGCCCGGTTCTCCACGACGTATCTATCAGTCATAAACAACCGAGGGGAAATTGAAATTTGATGAAAATACTAATTAATCATAGACGTGTCCTCCTAGATGGAATTGAATATAAACCTAATTGTTGCGAAGTTATTCAGAAATTGAACATATTTTCTATCATGAGCAATACTATATTATTTGCTATCTTTGTGATTTTATCATAATTAAGTAACCAGCCACACCGATAAAAATAAAAGCGACAAAAAATATTTTAAATTCAATTTGAAATTTGATAGCAACCCGAATATTATTTTTTATGTTGAATTTTGCTCTACATTCAGTGATTATTAATTGACCTAAGGAACATTTCATAAATATTTGTCATCACCTATTATCAATTCCTTTATTCATACACTTGGTAAAGGATCTGTTGTTTATAAGTTGTGCCAAATAACACATGCATTCAACTTTATTTCAACTTTATTTGCACTATAGAAATAAACGTTTACGCGCTTGTTCTGGTTAAACTTCCTGGTATATTTTGTAAAATTCCAGAACGTTCACACGATTCATATTACAAAGGAAGCAATTGCAATATCAGTCTGCAAAAGCGAACAGCTGAAAATAAAAGAAAATAGATCAGGTCACAAATTTTCCCTGATCGAAAAAATCGATTCAGTAATCATTGGTGTAGCTTATACGTAGTGAAGCGAAAACAACACAAATTTAGTACGTGATCATTATGACAACGAACCAAAAAGTAACGATGATATTAATATTCAAGGCCTCTAAATTATTATATTATTAATTTAGGCTAAATACTATCATATCACAAATCGCCGTTTATCGATAATTTTGATATCTCGTTATATTATCAAATTTTATACAGAAATATATAAAAAAAAATATATATATTTTTGATATACATCTTTGCGAATGAGTTCGTTTTAAAAAATCGACCGTCGTCTTGTTCCAGCTCTAAGCTTTTTAAACCGCAATTACGGTATACGGTACAGATACACATAGAATGATATTCCAAACACTGGAACAATCTTTTGTAATGGGTAAAATTTCTGGAACCGAGTGTACTTGTACAGTTTTGTGGATTGGTCGGTAATTTCAATTATTACTGTGTTACTCTTTGTGCGTAACTTGATGGACGTCAATGAAACTCCACTTCTATCGGTATTGTCATTAGGACGATTTCAACCATTTTAGGTCAGTGATACGTCACCTTCATCAGCAGGGGAAATTTGAATTGACGCAATTTCGATTAAAGTGTGCGTAGCGTGCCGAACGTCAGAAAACGTCATATCAATCAGCACCACAATCACACGGGATCTCTGGGGTAATCAAGAGGTATTTTATAGTCATATCACCAAAAATGTATACGTAACCATACGATGTATTAAACAGTGCTACTTTAGCGTGAAGTCCACCTTCCCGTTAGCAATTTAGGGCGATGTATACTCCCTCACGTGGTAGACCCCAGGTGTAGGTTACATAGGGCCGTGGGCTTCACGATAAAGTAGCACCTATCAACGTATATCGTATGAATGAATTTTGTAATTGTCCAGCACTATTAAACATGTGACTTAACTATGATTATTGTTTCTTATATGTTCTTGAGCTTGGGAACAGATTGCCATGTTGTCTAATTAGTATTTGTTTCAAACATCTATAACCTAGAGATGATCAATTGTATTTGATTTTTAATTTTCTCTAAGTTCAATAGCCAGGCTTGTCCATGGGAAACGTCTCATTGGATGGGATGGGACAGCACACATTTGTTTTACCCATTGGTCACGTGGGACCAGTGAACTCATGGGAAAAGTAAAACTATTGGGACAATTTTATATGGGATTACGTTTTGTGTGTCAAGAAAATTAAAAGTTTTCAACATGAGAGTGAGCTGAAATGGTAGCACGATAGTGCGTATGCACAGTCAAAATCAGAAATCGTTGCTGGTATGGCGTAAATGATAGTTATTAAAATAATTCTAGGGCGGGGTCACAATTCTGGATTTCTCGGAAAACTGCTGGACCGATTCGGACAAAACTTGGTATGTAGGTCTGGGATGGTATCCACATGACCCAGCAATTTTTTTTCATTGCGATCAGGCCAGAGAAAAGAAGCTATCTTCTCTTGTTATGAACTCTATACCAGATTTGCATGTAACATAAACGTTAAGGGAATGGTTCAGGAATTACCCGGATTTTCTGAACTGTTATAAATAGTCGATGAGCAGGAAATTGATAATTTTCTGAATGAGAAGAGTGACTCCAAAATAGAAAACGAGTGCCAGAAAGTTGGCTGATCGATGACTACAACCATAAATTTTCAAAATGCATCCTTTTTAGGTTATTATGTGCAAGAGAGTGCAAAATATGTTTCATAGAAGCAACACACTTTACGTAATACCCTAGAACAACGGTTCCCAAATGGTGCGCCGCGTTTAACAGAATTGTGTTATACATAACTAAAATTGTGCTTTTGCTATTATTTCTTAGGCCTACATATTTATAAACGTTAATAAAGGCATAAAGTATACATTGCCGATAACGATATTGAGTTTTATTGAATAGCAGCATATTTTTCTCGTGTAAGTGCGCCGCTAGTATTTTCGCCTGATAATTTGGCGTCGCACGAACAAAAAGTATGGGAATCGCTGCTGCAAAAACTATTTGATACTTGGTATGAATATTGTGACTTACTTTAACAGGTATATTTAAGTTATAAATTAAATAACATGGGTGCTATACTAAGCATCGCTAAATGCCTTCGGAAGAACCTCAGTGAGTACAGTATATTATTTGATAAACAATTTTTATTTCAAGGTTATTGATGTGTGGTGAGAGTACTAGAGATTTTAATATGATTTGTTAAATCATAGTGAAGTAGCATATTCATTAGAAAACGCTTTTAAACTTAATGTAGAATAATATAAATCTGTATACTTTGTACGTCTTTCAAAATTAAATTAAAGATCGTAAGCCACTAACATCGACAGCTAATGACACGAGGTAGGAACCGATAACAAAGATCGGTACTCCTGAAGTATGCGAATCAAGATGGCAAACACCGGAACGTAGTGTATGTACCATGTTAGGGTTAGGACATACTTTTATTCCAATTTTCTTTATTTTAGTTCTATTACGAGTTCAGGGACTAGCCAAGTGACTCCCGTAATACTTGTACCTGAAATTATGGCCTAACCCTAACCTGGTACACATACGTTCCGGTGTCCGCCATATTTGTTCACATACTTAGGGAGTACCCAAAGATTTATCTATATCTTGATTTATTTATACCTTGAGCTTTCCTGGGTTCAAATGTTGGTAGGTGCAAAAGTATACGAGTGCAAATGCCCTGAGTGCAGTTGACGGTTGCAAATTCGTGAGTGCGAATGTTCGTGGATGCAAATGTCGATGAGTGCGAATATATGCGGGTGAAAATGCTTGCCAGTTAACGTGTGCAAAATGGACGTGGGTACTAATTCACGTTTTTGAAAATATCCATGAGTGCAAAGTCAGCGGGTGCAAAATATATATGGGTTTCAAAAGCAGTAGTTGAAAATGTCTGTGAGCCCAAAAGTATGAGAGTGCATATGTCCTGGATAAAGTTCAAGGTGCAATTTCAGTTTACGGGTGGAAATGTACACGGGGAAAAATATATGCATTTGTTCAAATTTTCGAGGGTACAAGTGTTCAGGCCGCAAATATCCGATGGTGCAGAGATAATTAAACCATTTGCCTGTAATCATCAGGCATTATTAATATTTTTTATTCAATTTCAATATAATCTTCGAGCGAAGATATTTACTCAAAAAAGTTTATATCGGATATAGATCATAAAGTACTGAAGACAATAAATGTTCCTGATTTCATTTCAATTGCAATATTTTATTTTTGCAATATAACAAAGTTAGATGAACTTTGCACAAGACACAAATGTGAGATTTTTGAAAAAAATTGCCCTTTTCAATAAATTTACATCATATTAGTAGATAAAAAGTCCTTTGTGTTGTCAGCTACACTTCATCACAGCTAAATACATTCATTTTACAGGGCTTGGGTATGAAAAGTTTCGAATATTTGTTAATAAAAGGTATAGAAGATTTGTGTGACACGATAAGAGGTAACCTATCTGGAATTAATGTCCGTAGATACAAGTTGTGATATGTGAAACTAAAATATTTGAATTACAAGAGAACAAGTAAATATAGTAATTACCATGACTTATAATGTAATAATGGATGTTATCGAATGGGTTTCTACGGTACTAACTGCGTAACCTTCGTCTGTTTTGTGTGTCCGCATGCGTATCATGTAAGGGTGATGTAGCAAGAGTGAAGATAGCTATCCTAAGTGATTCAGAAGTCTTACTGCACACTAATAAAATATGTTACCATGACGTTTCGTCAGCAAGGCCATACTGCATCAGACAAGCATTATTAAACTAACAAGCTTGGAGTTGAATTTGTGTTAGTGTGCAGCAAGACTCTTAAGGCTGGGAATGGTTAACCGATCTTAGATGGTTAACAGTTACCATTTTGTTTTAACCGTTAACTGACATATTAGGTACAAATCATCTTTATAATGTACTCCTTCAAAAATGAAACCGTGAAACGACACGATGCGATTAACCGGTTAATTTTACCCGGTTGACGGTTAAAGTGTTTTCCCTGAAATTCCCAGCCCTACTAATGATACTTATACTGGAATTGCAAATTATACGTATATGTTGACTATGTATAATCACACATGATAAATTTATCTATAACTCGTGTTATCAATGGATGGACCTAACTCGGACTGTTTCAGTCTGCCAACTGCTATGCATCCGGTTATTGTTTTTCAGAACAGCCAACAGTTCGCATTTCAATTTCCTTTTGAAATTTGGAAATTCACCAATTTCAAATTATTGAATGCCAGTCAGACGAAACTGCAATGGCGTTTGATCTAAGACATTCGAGATTAGCATTAGAAGTTTAACTGTATTGCAAATAGTAATATAAATGCAGTTGAATTTTATTTTATTCATCGCAATGATATATGCTTTCTAAGGTACCTGTTCAGAATATTGTTGCAACTTCCTGTATTTCCATACAAATAGGCTAGTTAAGAGTTTCATGCAGTTTACAATAAAATGAGGATGTTGCAGGTAGTAAAGCAGTTAGTTACCCGAGCATCTCCTATATATATGTAAATTAAATCCCAAGGTATAGCTATCAATCAATATTTATGACAATTATTGCACAAAATCTTTTTATGATGGCTTCAAAAGACGTTAATTCTACAAATATTTTATTGTCTGTATTTTTAAATAGTTTTTTGTTTCATAATCCTGTGCAATTTAAATGTCAATACTGAAAAAATTAAAAAGCGTCGTATATCAATTTGGCTTCTATAAACTTGATTCTAATTTAGTTTATGCCGCCTGGATGCGTATATTGAATGACAGAACTAAAAACGAAGTCTTAATATTATTTTTTTGCTCTTGATTTTTTTCTCGCGAGAATTTAAAAAAATGATATAAAACGAGTACTTCAATTTTGGGTGTGCGTTGGCGTAATTTATTGAGAGTGAAAACGCTTATCGAATATAGAAATACCGCGATTTCAAAACCTGATTTGTTAATTCGCGTTCAGGAGTTTTTCATTTTGCTGCCAATCATATATCAAACCTAGATGTCATAATATTTTATATCAGTAAGAAAGCGAATCTGATTGGCCTTCATCGAAAATGATTTCTGAATTGAAGGAAACAGTATGAAAGCTTTCTAAAAACTGCTATTTTTGTCGAATAGAATCAAAATTGTTCGATATTTAACATGATGCAACTCATTTCAATTAACCAGTTTTTATTTCGATTAAATTAAACAACATGAAAACCTTACGAGGCATCGTTGTGTACGTCATAATGATATGTGAGTAACATAGTATTAGTATAATAGAACATCTGAGATTTTTAATTCTTATTTACTGATGTGCAGTCATATTTTTGAGATGTGTTCCTCAACTCTGGTTTCAATAAGTCGATATGTAAAGGGCATTTTATTGTACATTATATATTGGGGGGGGGGGGGGGGGGGGGGGTCTTGTAGCGTCAACGTATCTAACTCTTCGACTAAATTTAGTTGTTTATATTTGATGGTCGAATCTAATTATCAAATTACACGGGAGAAAATTTTTGCATTTTATGAAATCGGCTTATGTCAATTTATGTCAATACCGTTTAGCCGAACATATTTAGTGTGGACGCATTTTAATGAACTTGTCTGAGATGCAGTGCGTCCGAAATCCATCTAAGGCCGATACAAAGTTATGATATGAACAAAATCTTTCGGTGCATTTATTACTGTAAGTGTAAGGTAAGGCTAAGCGATCGCCGCTTTCTCTTTTTCTGCCTTTACCGCTAATTTTTGTGTATGGTTCAGACTACATGTCTGAAGTTGGTTATACGGCCTCAACGACAGAAATGTTGCACACCCCTGATTTAGTACAATTATTGTGTTAAAAATTGAAATTTGAATATTTTTTATGTAATCTTAAGAAAATCATAATTCCAATTTAGTTTTGGGTTTCTGAAGTTATACTTTTGAAAATATTTTATCAGGCCTTCAATGCAATTTATCGGCCAAGGAAAACACGTGCTTCATTACTGGCAACGACGACAGTGAACCTATTCTAGTAAACAATACATATGAGGGAGGATTAACAATTCCAGCCATCGATGGTTTTTTCGAATGCCGTTGGAATTTTAGCCCACCGGATGGACGGACTGATTTATCTTTGACATTAAATGTCACTAACACTGACTGCAAAAATATGTTCAAAATCAATGGTAAATGCACTGAATATTATTGTAGTTGTATATTATTAATATTTGTGATAATGATAAAAAAAACTCGCATTTTATTCAATTCATTGTGAATTGAAACAAACGAACGAAAAACTTTTTTTCTTTAAACGATGCAGAGGAAAATTGAGTTTTGGAAATGAATATTCCCTTCAGGTGCATTGAAATGAATGTGAATAATATCACTTTTTATTTTTATTTTCCAATTTTCTGACAAAAACCTGAGATTGCGTCAGCAGCACACTGGACTGAATATTCTACTTTTGCTCTACCTTACAGATTATTAAACTTTCCAACAATTCCTCGTTTTGATTCTTGAAATGTTGATTTCTCAAATGGTGTTTATTACTCACTAATATATATATATGATTGTGTAGTAATAAGATTGTTTTACGCTACACATCGGAATCGAATATGGGCTGTGCACTAGAGCAGGGGTTCTCTAACAGTTGGCGCTATGGAGCCTGTGAAAAGGTTGACTTTTATTTTTGGAGACCCATAATAAATTTGTAAAAACAAACAAAAGACACATTGTTATTTACCGAATAATGTTCCTGAGTAAATTAAAATAACTTTATTTAATGACTCTGGTGTATTTGCTGCTTCATATTCAAATAATATTCTTATTGCGGTTGTCAAATTTCATTAATGCCGTTATTGCTTCTTCGGACAGGTACAAAATTATCCAAGTCAGTTTTTTAATGAGAGAACGAATAGTTCGAGGAGCCCCTCCTTTTTTAACATGGACTCGGGCTCCGGACAAACGTCTACATTATGTAGTACTATTTCAGGTCGTCCAAAATGCAATGAAACTCTCCCGATGATATACAGGTTTTATCCTACATCATGCGGACAATCTTGTAGCAACAACAACAACTGCAATGATTATGAAGAATATCCTCTTCAAATAACTTTTGACGGAACCCCTGATAACAAAGAATTTTCATTAAAGTACACGTTTGCACCCTGCTTCACAAGTGAGAGAAATTCAAACTGACTACATATTTATTCTATAGAAATGTCACATTAGACCAGGGAGGTGCAAATATTTTGTCGATGGGCCGTCGATATAACCAACTGCAGATATCTAGCTGGGCCCAACGAAAAATTTAGTTTCCATGTACAAAACATATTATAAACAAATTATCACAGTTCATGATATGACGCAAGGACAAGATCAATAAGTTTTATATATTTTTACCCACGTGAGCGACTTTTTAAACCTAAAAAGACGGATTAGGATTTTATGCTTGGTCGGGGAAAATCTGAGCGTCGATGAGGGCAACACTAAATGGCTTGAGGGTGTTTCTCGGGAAATTTGTTGCACTCCGTTGATTTGGACATATTAACTCCAGGCATGTAAATAATGCAATTGCTAATTTCGTGAAATACCAAATTTCTATGCAAAAAAAAAACATTTATTTTATAGCAACGAAACAAACTACTGAAGCCGCAGAAACACCTGAACCACGTACTATAAAAGACATTAAGATTGAGAATGCGCCGGCTATAATTATTGTCTCAGGTAGGCCGACAACTTAATGAAGAATCTTACCTAAACACTAAAGCACAACACAAAATTAAGAATGCATCGTTGACGACATTTATATACCGGTTCTGTTGAAATTTTTCAATTTTCTTGTCTGGGCTAGTTTCCATACTTTTATTCTTTTTTATGCCTAATTATTAGATACCAATTTTCAATAAGCTCTGTGTACATTTACAGTACCATACCATAATTTATTTTATTTTAATTATGTTCCAGAAATGTTTACCACACTTATTGCGATGGTATCAACTAAAATACTGAATAATATTATTTTTTGAGTCGCCCTGAGTCGACTCATGCCCACGATGAACTGGGTATATATATTGCAACAGGCCAAATTTCATTCTTTCCTGTGCATAACGGGTTCATTCATATCTGTAGTTTCATATCCGTGTTTTAAAATTGATGAATTATTTTATTAGTTTAAATCTCTGGACACAAAGTGAAGCTATGAATTAGTTTGTAAAACGCATTTTTAGTGTTATTTCGTCATAAAATTAGTCATAAAAAATTTTTGGCATATTATTACATCACCAATGTCAATGAATTGACTAATGTTATGGCTAGCTGAAGCAACTAGCGAAGTAGAATGATATTCTTGGCAGTCTTAATTGTTACCTGGCTTTCTATCTTTTTGGTCGGGAATACATGCTTACAATTTTGGCATGCTTAGAATTGAATGCGAATTCTATTAGCTCAGATTGGCTATGCCTGCTAACTAATAAAATGTTGCCTATATGTCAGAAAGTTTAGTAATTGCTCTCAATATTCGAAAGCACTTACATTTACGGAAGCACTTTTTTCCGTTTGAAATCTTACACAAAATATATACATAGAAAGACTGTTGCATGTTTTCGTGAGTGTTATGGGTTTTTGCATGTTTTAGCTTGATAAATAACAAATACTGATCAATGTGTTTCCATAATAACAGTTTGCATTGTATTAAACTGTTCATCTATTCTTGGCACTATTGTGGCACGCGAACAATGCAAAAATAAATTTGTGGCCCGCGGAGCAGACAACCTTGGACCACCCTGAGTTAAACCATACAAAATAATATATTAAAGATAGTAAATATAAATATTTTTGAGGTATTCGGATTGTTGATTGTTGATTGACTTTTTTTATCAACTAATGGGCTAGTCGATTTCACATTTCAGTATTTAAAGATACTCGGCACTCAAATAGGTGGGCGTTGTCAAAAGCCATAATTTATATTTTTTAAGAGATTCGATATTTCCCACCAAGTTTTGTTTCCACCTTTATATACCATTCGTTACAATTCCTTTGACATTTTACTGAAATTTCCTTGACAATCCGGTTGTCATTCAGCTCTCGTGCACATATATTTGGACATCGCTCACTTGTTTATGTATTCATTTCAGGAACCAAGATCAGCCGATATACTTCTGGAACGAGATCGTCATCACCAAAGACAACAATTAGCAACATCCTGGACACAACCGTTTCGCCTGTTATTCGACCACTTTCAATATTTATTCCAATCTCTGTGATTCTACTTATTGGAACTGTATTTATTATTGTCATTTTGAAAATCAGGTACTATTTTTAATTGAAAAATTACATCGAGGATTACATTTGGCAGGCTTAAAAGCCTATATTTCAGAATTCTGCAAATGTGGTGCCAAACTTCAATTTATTCAAGTGCGACTCTCTCGTCCACTACTAATCGATTGCTTAATCAAACATCTGCGTTTCAATGTAGCACTTCTTTTACATAATTTCAAAGTCCAAATTTGCACTTATCCTAATTTGTTTCAAAGTTGTTGTTAGCAATTCGAGTAATCTCATATCACGCCATCGCGGTTAGATCATCGATAATTTCCTCTCAAATAGTGGTAGTAAAACGGATATGCCATGAAAACCAGAATTACAAGTTTTGTAAAGATTATATCTGTTGTTACAAAATCGGTATATTTCCCTAAATTCATTATAGCTTGGTTATTTCTCTCAAATACTCCATTTCAACTTTCCAGAAAACAAAACGAAAAACGAAAAAATCAACAACGAGTGGTTCACATATCCGATGTTCACACGTATGCAAACGTACTTCATAATATTCCAGAAGTGATGTCAACACCGGGACTATATGAGAGTAGTTTAAGCCCCATTGCACCAGACCCGGAGTATATAACTGAGCCAGAAGCGGTCCCAACAGAAGGTCCAGCGACCGATAAACATGCATACGCAGGCATCGACATGAGACCTAGTGCAAGTGAGGAATACGCATCGATAGAACATCAGGAAAATCGTTACTTGCAGCCGATTAGAAGAGATTTTATTGACGGCGAATATGGGTATCAAACACCGATCCCACTTAGACCAGAAGACGATACAAGTTACATGCGGTTTCAGAAAAAGTAAATTGAAAATCGATTCAATTCAAGCAATGCTTGATCGTACTATGCAATTCAAGATGCTATTGATAAACTCGTCGTTATCACGTAAGGCTCATTTGATTGGTTATACATTATGCTTCTGCCATCCTAATTCATGTTAATGTATAGATCGACTTGTTGGCTATTTAGTAGCTTATCCAGACCGGTGACCAACTGAAAGATTTATCTTTGCTTTATGACTTATCAGTCTTAGCTTTTATTTCTGCAAAAACTGAACACCTAACGTTGTAATATTGAATCGGTCGATCGTGATCTAGTACTGTACACCCTGATCAAAATATAACTTTGAGCAATGCCGAGCTTAAGATACTTTGATAAAGTTTAACATTGCCTTCAAAGTCTTTGTTGCTCGCGGAAAACATTATTCTTATTTTAATTATATATATTTTTTTGATTTTCAAATATTTTGCATCAAATGAATAACGAAAATACTAAAAATCATCAATATTGAAAGATTTGGTCATATTATATAGTGTTTAAACATTGGTTAACTTCTTTTCTTTAATGTTACGTAGAATCATGTTGATAATGTTTTCTTCTAATCAACTTAGGTTGAATCAAATAAACAAGTTGTCTTCTTTGCAAAAAAATATCGTTTTCTTCTTTGTGAATTATTAAATAAATGTATTTAGAATTTTATATGATTTTGATTCAATGCTTATAGTATAGGAGTGCCCAAACAAGAGCCCACGAAACGTACCTAATAAGAAAGTGCATTCCAGTGCCAGTATACATTGAAGAAGGTGCAGGAAGGGCAGTCTATTAAGTTGATGAGTGATGTAAAAAAATTGTCTGATTCGATGTTTAAATTCTACAGATAAGAACATTATGTTTCTAGAAGTAGACAGTTGGTGTCAAAAACTTGCGTAAAAAACTAAAATTTGTCACTATTCTAACAAATTTCTGACTTTGAGCAGTTGGGAACTGTGGTCACAAAGCTGCTTTTATCGAACAAAAAATAAGAGTCAACATTTTTTGTTGATTTTTAATCGTTATATTGAGTGGATTGAAGCGTATGACGGATTTAACAACCATTTTTCACAACCCGATCCGATTATTTTATTGCACATGTAATTGAATTCTTGGCGTTATCGAGAAATCAATTGATGAAGCAATTAACACACTGGCTAAGTAAGTTGGAGTTGTTTCGGATATCCTCAGTAAATAAAGCTCTACGCATTGCAATAATAGAATATAATATATTGGCAGAAGTCGTTTGCGCACACGTTCTAGCGGTCTTAAAGTAATAAATTCAATTTCACTGTTACGTATTATTTTCTGAAATGTAATAATAAATAGCAATGAAAACTAATTGCCAATACTCTTGGTTTAATAACTTATAAATGTCAAAACGTCAAAATGTTTTGGGTAATTGACATTTGTCTGTAACTTTTGCTGAAATTGTAAAAAATATTGGTAATGTAATGTAAGGAATTGTTGTTTTCCACATTTTAAAAAGTCCGGAAAACTCTGCAAATCGTGACAAATGAATATTTTGATTGTCTGATAGCATGCACGATGTGGCAGACTACCAAAGTTTGGAATGAGTCTTAGATGCCTAAAAATATCCAATCACGAATTGTCGTTTTGAACTAATCTGATGATAATTTATTAACAATAAAATGCCATCCTAACAGTAAAATGCAGACAAAAGCCACGTATTCACGAAAACTTCGATTTTTTTGGAAATGTTTTCAAAAGATGACTAATGTAGTCTATAACCTAACTTTCTATTTTGCAATTATTACAAATATTTTTATGCGACACTGTTGCACCCACGATGTTATAAAGTGTGGAGACCAGTCTAGAGTTAATTTGCTGAAAATTTAGAGAAAGTGTGAAATATTGTGGTAATATTTCTATTAGCTTGGCAGTTTTCATGAGCCAGGGTCTGATAAAGTGTGTTGGGTGAAACCACACATATCATCATAGTCCAGTTTGTTTCAAACCTCATTCGTAGCAAAGGTTCTAAACTTTATGGTATTATTTCTATTAGCTCGTAATTTTTCATATACCTAGATTGTGCGACACTGTGTCACCCAGGGTGAAATAAATACGGTGCGTTAGATGTTAGTTCTCTTGGCACGCAAGTTTCCACAACGAGATCTACTGCAAGGTCAGATTTAATATTGGAGTTACCGCAATTTGACCACACTAATTTTTTTAAATTTCAAAATTTTTGCAGACTTTCAATTTTGTCTGCTGACCTTTTGATAAATAAAATCGTTCAATTTTTGCATTCAATTATGATATTTTTATAAAATTGGTGTTATTTCATATTGATTTTAATAAGAAATCATTTTTAGCAAAATTAAAAAGAATTAATTGGTTTTACAACTGTATATTTACACGGTAAAGGCAAATGATGAATGGTAAAATATTTTAAATATCAAGCAATTGAATCACTTACATTAAATATAACAGTCATTGCATTTCTAGCAATTTTACAGTTTCATGCATAAATATTATTAAGTATTTGATTCTGACATTGCAAAACTTTGTCGGTTGGATAGAATTTTCATATTTACTTTGAGGGATAGAAAAGCATGCGTATTAAATACAATCTTCAATGGAAAAAATAAATTTTAAATTAAAAAATTGAAAAGTTTGCAATATAATCGTTTCATTTATTTCTTTTGCAAAAAAACTATTTGAATATAGCTCAAAACGAGTCAATGACGCTTGCGACAGAACTATTCATCAGAACTATCTAAACCTAGGGTCAAGTGAAGAAGTGATACGAGCAAACTTGCAAATCTGTTAGAGTTAAAGTTATACAAAGTAAACAGAACATTCAAACATGTAAACATCAAACACGAAATTGTTAAAACTATTTTTCAACAATCTGTTCCTCAAGTGAGAACACGAGTGATAAATTGTTTGTCCTTGATTAGGGCAAACAATTTATCACTCGTGTTTTCATTTTTTTAGCCTTGATAAATGATCTCATTAAGTTTAAGCAACGATATACTATTTTACAGTTTTGTTCGTTGAGATTTTGTTTTGTCAGGAATTTTGATGTAACAATATAATTGACACGATGCTGCTTTACCGTCTTCGCGGGATGTTCTTCCCTGTGAAAAATAATACTCTCTCGTGAGACTCACTTCGCGAATTGAATTATCTTCTAGGAGTTTTTCGATTTGATCTTCAAGGAGTCTTTTGTCCGTTTCATCTCTTGGATGGTTTGCAGCTGAGAAAACTAAAACTCCTCCCGGCTTCACGTGCTCGGCAAACAGAGGGAGCATTTTGGGATGAATATGCTCAACCCCGAATGAAGCTATACACGCTAGTCCATCGTATAATTTTTCCGACACGTCAATTTTGTCATCAATACATAGATATTGCAAATATAAATCATCGTATGCGTTTTTACGATTCGCAATATTTAACATAAGTTGATTCTCGTCTACTCCATGTAAAATCCCATTAAATTCTCTTTTTCTTAACGCAGCTCCGATGAATCCAGTCCCACACCCAGCATCTAAAACTACACAATCGAATCTTTTACTGCTTGCCATGTTTTCCATGAGCAAAGTTGCGGCGACGTCGTGCAGTCTATATCCCATATCAAGCATATCCCAGTCATACAATCCAGCCCAATCGTCATAATATGTTCTTAGAATCTTTCGTGGTGCGTTCGGCTCGAATTTCTCAAAAATACTTCGATTCAAAATACTTGAACTGGTTGAAGTCGACATGATACTTGACCTCGACCTGATACTGCTATCCCGATACATGTTAATTTCTTACTTGATATAGAAGCTATGAAAACACTACATCTAAAAAAAGAGGTGATATAAAATATTATTTGAAACTACAGTCATACGAAGGTTTAGTAATTTGACAGCGTTTAAATTTGCTTTACAGAAAAATTCATCAAGGCATTAGTAAATTAAAAACGTTGAGAAACTACATAATTGTGCTAACACCGGTTGTGCTTTATTTATTTTCGACATGAATATACCTTAGGGCAATCATGGGCTATTTATTCAAATATTTGTATGAATCTGCATTTTCCAAAACATTTTCAATTGCCTCTTTAGCGCTTTATAATAACCTTGAATAAGTAATCTTTTTTATTACTTTCTTTTTTGAATCTTGAATTATCAATAATGCAAACGGACAACAAAACTTGATTTTATTCTCCTCGTTACAACCACAAAAAATGTCCTATCTCATATAAACCTAGACCGGTCTTACTAAAACAACATCTCATTTACAAATATTAAACGCATTTTATGATAGCGTGATATATTATTTGCAGACAAGCGCTGTAATACAAATAACATGACGTAAATTGCATCGAATTCAAGATGCCAAATAATCAATAAATATTTTTACGACGTTTTTTTGTGCGTGACTGAAAACAAATAACATAGATAATAAAAAGTATGAGCGCAAACGCAATTGCAAAAAGGCATGTTTATGTATTTATCCATTTCGATGTTGATAACAATGATTAATGTCTAGTAAAACGACCTGCTTATAACGCATATGAGACTTTTGTTTCTTAGGTGTTAATCCAATGACTGAACAAACGTTTACTTAGAATAAAGTTTCTCAGCTAGGGTAAATTTATTCGTGGGTCAATTTTGCAAGTGAAAAATTCACGTTTTTCTGCTATACTATCCTTCCATTACAACATTACATATAGAATGACATATAGATGTAGGTAGAAATACAAAACTTTTACTTTCGATTTTTACACAGGGGTAAATAACAGAGTTGAAGTAGCACACTTGACCCAGTTAAAATAAATCATTTTGGGTCAAATTTCTCTAGTTAGACACTTTGACTTGACTTGACCGTTTTTGAAGCGAATAATTACGTATTTCACTTTACGTACTTCACACTGTAAGTACTAATAGTACTTTATCTCATTAGTTATCCAACAGGGTAATTAACTGGACATTCACATAGAAAGTTAGAAAGCTGGTTTAGCTTTCATCTACGGGGAAATATCAATATCATAAAAGTATCCCACTTGAATTTTGACACCCTTTTATTATAGTGATTCTTATACAAAACTATAAAAAATATTTGACATATTTTTACATGATTTCAAAAAATCATGCGAACAGTATTCCGCATATTAGCCATTATCCTATTATTTATTCAGTACGTCCTAGGAAGCTGCTGTTCTAGTATATGTAAAGTTATCATACGTATCAAAAAGTACCTCGTTCGCGCTAAAATCTATATTTCTTTATTACATGTTTGAGGCGCGCTATTAATATCCGGAACAAGATTTGTATTTGGAAATCCCGATTGGATTGGATTACTAATTGCTCAGACAAATTGATCAGTATCAGATTATTCTCTGTAATGAAAAGTGATTTACAAAATTGACAACCATTCAGAAATTAATTTTTTGTAATTTTGTATATTATATGGATATTATATTCTTATATATACTTACTGTATACTTATTCATCAAAGAGTATTAGCTCAATGAATATCAGTGTATGCTTGTTTATGAGTTTGTATAGGAAAAAAAATCACGGGTAAAAACGAAAATGAACTAATTTCGTCCAGTTAATTAAAAACATCCAATATTCGTATAAATATTTGCATAACATTTCCCCAATATGTACACCATATCATATTGTTTAGGATGCTAGCATCTGATGACTATAGGTAAGAAAATATGCTCGATACACTTTGTATTATGCTGATGATTTTGCACCATATTTATACTTCTCTTGCCATGCAAATTCTATCTTTACAGGGGGCAGTTGATAAGCGAATAATACAAGATATGTTATAAAATATCCACACAGCCAAATTTATTCTAGCCAATGGTCTATTGAAAAGCAGTATGCAGGAATTTTTATTTGTGAGCAAATGTTGTGGCAACATTTCACATAATTTTATAATCCACTAGGTGAGGCTAAAGTTTCGCCAATTCCATTGTTCAATAAAAACCAGTAGCTTCGCTGTTTTATGACGTCAAAACGTCCTTTACAAGTCTCTATTTGAGCAGCCACTTTTACACTCCGAGATACTACGTTAATAGAAAAATTGTCAACTCGGCATCTAATTTGAGAGTTTCTTCCGCCTATAATTTATCCATGATCTTATGATTTACCCATAAACTTTTTTATCCACAATTCGTCTCCTCCTTGTATAATATTATAACAGTTTGGCGTTTCATATTTTAAACTTTTATTGCCAACGTAGTTAATCATTACCTTATCGCGCCATGTCTAAACCAAGCACACGAAATTTGTAAAGAAGAAGAAAATCAAACATAACATTATTTTATTCATCGTTTAATCATAAAATAAACAGTAGTATGCATAATCAGTAATAAAAACAAACGAAGAAAATAGGAAAGAAGAAACTTCAACGACATTTTTGTTGACTACATGGCTCAAAATTGTGGTCAAGAAGGGTTTGGCAAGTTAAGAATAATTATAAATGATAATTTATTGGTAATACTTCGATTTAATAATTTTTTATTAAAATATATCTTGACTGTCATGAATATACATTAATACAAAATTAACTCATAATGTGTTTAACAATTTATCAAACCTGATATTTAATTTCAAGTTTATGATGCGAAACAAATCAGTATTAAATACGAAGAACTGTGTTGAAACACTCTTTTGGACAAATTTAATGAAATATTTGTAATATCATTCCGAATTGTTGTAAGTCATTTTGGCTGAAAAGACTAAAAATTAGTCAGCCTTATATTATTACGCGTTAAAAGCAGTGCAATATATATTGTGAAAAACATCAAAAATGATTTTATATTTAATCAAATTAATTAAATCGATAAAGTTGATAACCGTTTATTAATCTTGATACTGTTCATTTAAAAGTTATGATATATTCGTTGTGTCGACTTATCTTGTATGCTTGACTATATTTTTTGCCACTCATGAACACTTCATTTAAGAATATATTATCAATACTGAAATTTGTCAGAAAAGTGCCACTGAACAAATGTAAATTCGTAGATGATTCTATAAATCATCGCTTCTAATATGCATTTGTTTATAAACAATCATTATAAGAAACATTTGAAATGAAAATATAGTTTCTTGTCAGAGTTTTATATTCAATATATTCGGAAATGTGATCAATATATAGTTATGTTCCGTCTCACTAGTGGAAATGAGAAGTGAATATGCGGATGAACCATTCATGACGAAGACGAGCCAGGTGACAGTGTGACATCATCAGAAGATGGCGGAGTTGTTGCGTCATCAGGATACGCATGGTCGGGCGCTTGAAGCATTCTATAATGCAAAAATTCGGGTGATATTATTTTAGAATAAAATATTTTCTTTACATAAAATCTCACATATATTGTTAGCCCAAAACAACTCGGATTTTTTGACTTCTGTATGAATTTAAATCATCAAATTTTCCCTTCAAAAATGTATTTATTTTTTGTAATAAATTCGTAGTATAAATTCAAGAAATTATTATGCAATCCTGTTTGTATTGTTGAGCATGGCATTTGTTTTGAGTGACCCTGTTCTCCTTACATTGTTATCGACTTTTTGATTAAAGCAAGCCCATGCACTCTCGCTCAAATGAACAATAGGTTTTCTCTAAGCCAAGTTACGGAAGACCACTAAAAATCCAACAGATTGACACTACAAAAATATGTATCGTCGAAATACCGTGTTTAAGAATACAGGTTAATCCAATACTTGGGGCAGTTGAAAAACCTAACTGGGAAAAACGCATGAGTAGTGAATCACTTACGTGTTTTCGTCTGAAGAATTTAAAAGTTCGTTTTGCTGTTTCTTCTTTGATTCAAGAAAAGCAATTAACCTCAGTCTGAAAATTATGTATATTGTTATATTATTTTATTTCTAGATTGTCTAAAAATGAAATGACCATAAGCTGGTAATATTGAAGGTGATATGTTTTATATTTTCACAACGATTCATTTGGAACTGACAACATTTTTCTGTTTTCCTCGGGCTGAAACGTTTTTTTTTTTATTCAAACTGCTATAACTATAAAGACTTTAAATAAACAGAGAACCATGGTCAGGTCATCTTTTCAAACCTCACTTGTTTGTGCATTATAAGTTGTTACTTTAATTTGTTTGCTTTGATTTTGAAGTATGATCATTATCTACTACATTGTCTATCTGCATTATTTTCGCAAATAATGCATAAAAAATGAAATATTTCAATTCAATATAAAAAATATTAACTCGCCTGCTTCTCCTCTTTGCTGAAGGTGAGATTCTTTTCTTTTTTATTACTTTTGTTGTCATAAAGTGCCTTTGGAATGATGCTTCAGTTGGGAAAAGTGTTGCGTTCTGATAAAAACACAATATTCAACATTTTATTATCAAATACTGTTTTTATTCATTAAAAAAACTGAACAACTACAAAAATGAGCAATTTTTATTTGGTATATAAATATTTGTCTTTTTAACATGATCTAATCACTACATTCTTCTATTTCAAATGTTGCCTTTGGGCCAAAATTCTGCAAAACTTTTCTGATATTTAGGAATATGACAGCGTAATGATGAAATTATATATCTGAATATTTGGTGCCCGCGAAAATATTTTATTCATAAAGCGGAATAATTGTGTCATAACTAGTCAATAAAAAGTTGAATTTATATTACACTCATTAGTTTAATATTCCGCATACAGGGTTAGAGCATGGATAAATTAGTTATAATTTAGACTTTCTACGAGTAATGGAGGTTAAAATTTTTGTAATTCAGACAAGAAATATAATTCAAATATTTTATTCAGCATAGAAATAAGTGGTCATACATGTTCTTATCATTTCTTTACCGTCTCATGTTGCCCCCATTGTTTTTTATAGTACTAGTGATCGCTCGCGTCTCTCGTCTGAGGCGAGTCTGTTTCAATTTTAACAGCGCTCGCTCAAGGTCATGTAAGCAAATTCATATAAAATACAATAATTATTACCTGTGCCAGAGACATTTGTTTGTCTGGTTGAAGATTTAGAGTTTGACACTGTGGGATTTCCATCAAAGGCTGTTGAATTTCGTATGGTTGTTTACCGGTAGATGGAAGTAGTAAGTTGTCAAATGGGATCCCGGGAATGTGTATGATGTTCTGAAAAAGAATATATGAATGTTTAAAGTGGATATAAAAGTTAAAATAACATTTTTAAAAGTTGATAAAATTCATTTTTACTTAATTATTCACATAATTTTACAAATTCTGTTTATTTTACAGAGCAGTATTGCTCTCAATCTCGAAATTCTAAATATAATGGTTTGAAACGCGGCAAAAACTCACAAAAAATGAAAAGATAAATGCCCACGGATGAAAAGGTGTAAAAGAATATTTGCGTGGAACTATATGTAAGGATAATTACCGAAATTGACGAAATGAAATGAACTTGAAACGAATTATGTAGGTTGTGATACTCGAAATTAATTGGGTAAAATTGCAAAATTAAACCTTCCAGGTACTCCCATAGTATGTTTACCGGGTTAGGGTTAGGTCATAGTAATCAGTCCCTTTATACAACTTGATGTAAAGTAGGCGAACAAAATTAGTTATTTTCATATTGGTACACACACTTCAGGAGCGACACCTTTCGTGTTAACTGTAATATTTTATATTGTTTTGTTACTCGGGTTGAAGCGATAAAAAATGTTTTTTCAGTATTCAAACCAGCAATGAATTTAAAAATATTTTAAAATCTTAAGTAAAATAGGTACTCACTTGTGCTGGTGACGGCAATATATGTGCTTGTTGAAGATAATGTGGACTTTGAATTAAATTTGTGGCCGGCACTGAAAAAGAATGATATTGTGTTGGAAAAAAAATAAAAATACATTTTGTTAAAAAAATGAAACTACAACTGCAGTTCGTATTTAAGTATCAACTTAAATGTTCTCGTAGAGATGAATAAAGATTTTGGTAAATAAATCAAAAATAAATTCAAGCCCCAGGAGAATCGAAATGAATTTTTTTCTGTTCATCATTAATATAAAAACTGATTTATTCATCATATACTCAGTTATCGATTATGCTTCACTGAAAATATATTTTCTATGATTGCGTTGTTAGCGATGAAAAAGAAGCACAAAAGAGAACACACTTTTTGTCACATTTCAATCTGTAAGAAACGGCCTACCGTATGTAGTCAACGAATTGAAAATTTGATACAACAGATACAAGAAATTGGTGTATGCTATCAACAACAAACGTGTCTAATTGTTACACCAGTTGTTTCATGTGATATTGACCCACGGTCAGCACTTGTACAAAGACAAATAATTTATTTGTCTATTTTCAGGAGGCCGCTCAATTTACCCGACTGTCATTTTCTTTTATTCCTAATCTAGGGGAACTTCAATTTTTAAGTACATTCAGTTTTACTATCAAATGCAAACGTTGGTGGCAATGTTTGTAAACCAAACTCCGGAATTTCAAAAAGATGAGAAATTCTGGTGGATTTAAATTTCATACTAAAATTGCATCAATCCAGTTTGCATTGTCATTTTTTATACGGTTCTAACCATCATGAAAGGTACGAGGTTTTACTGGTTAAGTTAAGTGTTTGCAACATTACTAAAATTTCTTATTCATTTATTTTTTATCAATACCAAAATTTGTATTGTCTTCATCACACATAAAGCACGTTTCTAGTCAATATAAAATGTCTATTATTGATATGATATATATCTTTGTATATGTAGTGAGTAAACGAAAAGACTTTGAAAAAAGTCAAGATGATATCCACGATAAAACTTGTATTGCTAAAAGTAAACGAGGAGCTGACAAGAAATAGGTGATTAGCTTTAATGCCATGTTCTCAACAAAAAAACTTATTAGGCATTATCATTCTTTTGGCCGTCGTGAACGTGAAGTGTAACCGAAAGATCAATGTATAGACGGAAAATATCATTTAGTTCTTTTTGCTGGTCAGCTAATTCCATGGTCAATAACCAAATGGCGGGACATACAATATAATAAAACTTATTAACTATGTGCTTTCCTTGTGATAAATATTTGGAATTCTAATACATTCAAATATCTTTGAGCAAATATATCATAATCTTACATATTCCGTGTTCCACAAACTCGGTAATATGAAAAATTATACTAAGTAGAATTTATTTCCAAATTCATGCATGACAAAGAAACACCAAAAATGAATTTCCGTATTCATTTAGTACTATCGGGAATCCGAGGAAGTTTCCCAGATCCCCGGTATTTCAAATCCGCGGTTCCCGCAAGACTGAATCTGAATTACGATACCTTTTGTGGGTCTTTCAATATACTTCGACGGTTCTTAGCCTAATTAGGTAAAAATACAACGTAAAACGCATACACTTTCGATAATAGGATAACAATACGCATTCATGAAGGGAATTTAGTGCTCCAGAAGTATGCGCACCCAGATGTCGCACAACCGGAGTCTTGACCGGTGCACACATACTATGTTCAGGTTGTGCGCCATCTTGGTGCGCATACTTCTGGAGTTCCGGGAATTTTTCAATTAATCATTTATTACTTCAGAATTTGAAGTCAAAAAAATATTCTGCTGAATTGCGCGAGTCGTTCATTTTTTTGAAGAAATAGGATATTCTTCTTGCAGTTGAATTATTTATCAAAAAATATTTTATCAGAAAACAAGCATGAACAATTTACCTGTTATCATTTGTTGTTGTTTGACAAATTGTGACGTCATCTGATGATGCGCTGCTATTGCTGATGTAGGTTGAAATTGCATTGTGGGTACAGGATTTAGAAGACACATTCCTGGCGGAAGCCACAACGTTTGTGCAATCTGTGATATGAATCGAAAACAAATTATTCTGACACCCAGAAACGTTTAGATTTACATGTTTACATTGTAAATGAATCACCGATAACCAATTTTCAGTTAACAAGAAAATACAAAACAACTATTTTTGTCATGCATGTACGTTCAGGAAGTTCATCGAAAATGTTTAACCATTCTACAGCCTCTTATCTATTTATCAGCATTAATTAGGAATAAGAATAGTCAAGATCCTTTTTACGACACATTCATTAGCCTTTTGCTTTGAACAAGGCACTGCACAAGCGGCCGCTTCTGTATAGGAAAGACCGGATTCTCCTGAATTCGACATTGCCGACCCTATTGATTACACCCTGGATAATGTGGTGGCCATGGGATTAAAACCGGAAAATTTTACCTGCGATGTGTAACGCTGTAACTCTAACGCTTTACCCACAATGATAGAGGAATGCCTGTGTAACAAGCGGTAAAGGACCTGACCACAGCAATGTTTTCATGAAATCATTTCCTACATAATTATTTCCACATGGCTCAAAACTTGCAAACCCAATTTCATCAGTCCGTTTAGAAAGGGAAATCTCACTTCTTGAAATTGAAGGTAAAATCAGATTTTCATAAAGAAGAAAATGATTTACCACTTTGTGTACGAGACTTACCATATGCGCACAAAACAACATTCTGCTATCTACAGATCCTACAGTGTTCGTGAATATTTCAGAGATAGGCATTTGACCATCTACCTAACTCATATATACTTTGTTTACTCTTGTATAGTTAACAGTTACGAACCTGCTGTTCCATATCTCTGGTCTTCCTGAAGAAGCGGGATAACGTAGAGGTGTCTCTGCAAGTGCTTTTTCAAGCTTTGCCCGAGGAATGTCCACAAATAGTGGTTTAATATAATATATTTCAATTAATCTGTAAAATATAAGCATAATATGTAAAACCCTGTAAGTGAATTTTGGAAGAAGATTTTTGAAGAATTCTCACTCTCTCTCATCGACTGGATGGTCATCGCTGACCAACCGTGGCACTTTTCACGAAGCGTCGCCACTGACTCTGCTTCTGAGCAAATCAGTCATGTTAATTCCGCGATGATCTTTTGACAGGAATTGTACTAAAGAATAGAAACTTTGTCGGTCGTCTGTTCTGGTCAAATGTGACAAAAATTGCAATTTCCGGAATTATAAGTCCCCTTTATACAATAACTACCCTGTGTTTGTGCATGATTGACACCAGGTATATTCATGTCGAAGATAAATAAAGCACAACCGGTGTCAGCAAAACGATGTATTCTTTGCCGACGTTTCGAATTTATATACAGAAAAGCTTCGTTCGATTACATTTTCCGGCTATTCTGGGCATGTCATACTATATATATAAGTTAATAAAGATAATAGTATAGAGATATCCCGGTTAATGAATCAAAAAGAAAAGTTTTGAAGCATCTATAAATAAATTACTAATCATGATCAAATGCGTTCTTGTAACTTGCTGGCTTGGCATTCCGCAGAATACAGCTGAAATATTGTGAATAAACATACAACTGAGTACTGTTCTACGTAATTCAATTGCACAACACAACTTCAACAGATAGTTATACTTTATACAAAATACAAATTCTAGCAAGGTAAGACTCATGAGACATTATTTACACTGCCAACACTAACTAGTCGCCAACTCCAACGCTTGTACAACCCCCTAGATGTATGTAACACCGAACGCAGTTCATGTAAATCAGTTATAAACATTCATGTCAACAGCTGAGACAGAGATGCTGGCCTCGGGGGACCAGAAATCAAATTAAAAACGGACAAGCTTGGGCATAGTTAATTTTTGATTAGAACTCCTTGTGTTCAGAATATATAGTATAAAAGCAGATAAACACTGGAGCTAAAAAAATTTTAGTGGCAGACATGAAACAATGCATGTCAATAAACTTATGCTCGTCAAATATTTTCAATACACAATTTCAACACGATTCCTTATTCTGTATATATTTCCTCTTGTTAACAAAAATAAATTTTAATTCAATTTAGCTACTTCCCTGACCGTATAAAATGCTATGTACAGACATCTCATGTTTCTGGGTAGAAACCTTTGTATACCAAGCCCTTAGCTTACCAATGTCAACCAGCGTATGTTCAGTTCGTTCGCTTTACTATTACTCTAAAAGCGCATTCGTTAAAATTCCTCCTTGCAATAAATAGGCGCTTTCATATTCTTCTTATTTGAACATTTGTATGGTAGAAACCTTTGTATACCAAGCTCTATGTCAGTCACCAGTGTATATCAACTTGTTCTCTTTGCTATGGACTGCTTCCATTAATTTGAAAGGCCATCTTAAAAATAAACAATTCTTTTTTATTCATGCTATGAGCATTAGTGTAATGCTTTCTTTAAATGAAGTTTCCAATCTTGTAAGAGTATTCCACACCCAGGCAAAACATAGACATTTACATTGTAAATATCAAAATACAGAGTCTTTTCTGTGCATCAGAGGCTCCGACGGAACATATATTATTTTAAGAAGATATCAATTCACGCCCTTGTGAAAGAGGTGAAATGGAAGCACATTTACAATTTATTCAATGCTAAATATTGTGCTATCTATCAAAATTTTCCGCTCGACATGTTAATGTAAACAAGTATTTGTATACATAGCAATAAACGTAATGTAGATGTGTTGATTTAATCCTTGAAATCCACTGACGCCATATGTTGGTTTTTGTGTTATCTGGGCAATTAAGCAAAATAACTAATATTTTGAAGTAAATTGTAGCAAATAACTGATTCAATATATTTTATTGCATGTCATTTGAGATGTGAATAAATTAGGGTCAAGCTGGGCACTTCATTTTATTTGTCAAATAGTTTTTCAATATCTTTTACAGCTTTTGCTATGAGAAGTATAGCTAAACTAGCGCCAAATAGACAACCTTTCGCATTAGGGACCGTGAGTTATACACAACAGTATTAAATGTCCAGAAAGAGGTAATCTTTGTGTTCGTTGGATGTCCTGTTGGAATTATAAATTTTATTTAATGTCCGAATAATAGTCCCTTTGGGGCAGACTGGACATCGCAGCACGAGGCTACGTAAGATTGAAGATATTGCAAGTGGTCATTTGGAATTTTCATTTACTTTTATTGAAAACTCCTTTAGCAGGGAATAGGAAAAATAAAACTCTTATTAATATTGAATTTCATTGATTTCTAATGAAAGAACATCACTCACAAGAACTGACAGAATCAGTGGTTATTGGCTGCAAGTTTATCGCATGTTACTCAGTCTGAAACGAGACTGAAAATTGTTTTATCATACGTTAATTAAAATATTGCGTTGCCGCCATATTGAGAAATAGTGGCCTTTATTGAAAGGCTGAATATGTTTTTGTTCGGGTAAATGCTTGAGAATAATAAAATTGAATGTCCATCAGTCTTTCAGGAAATCGAGAATCATTCTTGAAATTTCTCGTCAATCATTTGTTATAATTGACATCAATTAAAGAACAACTAGGATTACAAACACTTAGCCTTTAATAGTTTTGTTCGTTATGTGACATGCTGGGGTCAGAGTTCGAAGGTTGCAAAGGATCTTAGGGTCAAGACACTGCTGAGTGTCGACAAACAACTGATTAGTACTAATGTTCAGAGTGTAAAAGCCGCTTAAACTTTACCCCTTGTTTTACGACGCCGCATACTTACGTAAAATTGCGACCAGAATATTATAAAGTATCCAAGTAAGTTTGAATTGATGTGCTACTTTGCGGATATTTAGATTAAGACAGTAAATATTTCATTTGTTTTTAATTTTGTTGCAAATAATGCTTCTGACAAGCAGACCACCAAGCTTAGAAATGAATTTTGTGGTTGATAGGTTTTATAATAATTATATGATTTGTCATTTGCGGGATAATAATATTTACTAAAAATATTCTGCTAAATCATTCATAAAGAAAATCCATATTAGTCGAGAATTTTTCAATTTACAATTCAAGCCCATTTACACAAGCACGTTGACCAATATAGGCTCACGCGATTATGAAAAATTAGTGGCAAATCATAGCTTAACTTGAATTTTCTACCATCAAACGCAAACAAGAATACAATGTACAAACGTAATCAAATCGATATCAGAAATAAATAAAAGTATAAGATCGTTCAGCAATTCAAGAACTCGACACATCGGCGCTTTATGCAGACATTTCAACAAACAACGACTAGTCATCATCATCATCGTAAATATCTGGTAAGTGGCAAACGGTTCAAGTAAGTCACACCTCATGGGATTTAACCGACTCGTGTTGAAACATATATCCTTCCTTGTTAATGTGTGGGTGTGAAATCTATTTATAATTGTGCAATACTGCGATAATTTACCAATATTACGTGGTATGGTCAGAATGGTGTAATTAGTGATGATTTTGCAATATAGAGGACAACGGTTTTCATTAAGAACGATGAACATATGATCCAATCCACATAACATCCAATCGCCATTTTAATAGTCTTTTCAAAAGGGGAATAAGCTGCTTTATTATTGACTACTTTAAATAAATATTCAATCAATCAGATATTGCAAATGGCAAGTCGCTTTCAGAATTGGTAAAGGTAATGCCGAGTGTTTTGATAGGGCCATGGAATTAAAATCAAATAAATAAAAGCAGCAAAGTTACGATTAAATTATTCTCTTTATTCACTAACTTTTGCCACGAATTAAGTATGGACGTTAAAATAACTCTTACTTCATATTTAAACTAACGCTATTTTTCAAAGTATTTACTTAGTTGTAAACAGCGAAGAATTCGAATTCATCTTGGAGCGAATATCGGTCATGGATAACCGTAGTCCCTTCCACATCTTCATCCGAACTCAAACGCGCAAACATATTTCTGTTCAGGAAAATGTTTTTATATTTCAGGTTATAAGAAGCAAAAATATATAATGATGTTCAGATTTTTTGTGAAATCCTTAGCTGTTAAATACCAACACAAATAACGTTATCAGCAAAAATACAAATAGATAGCAAATCCTACCGATTTATCTCTGTGTTTACATAACCAATCCGTCACCTAATATAGAATCATATTCTAAAAATGTAAAGTCGTTCAGAGACCCATGAAAGGTTGTGTTTGCTTAGTTAATCACGTGATTTATCGCGATAACTATTTTGAGGAGAGACGCACGTAATAAAACTAAATATATGCAAATCATGGTAAAAAATAATTTTGAAATATGTAATAAATAATCATACATAAATTAGTTAAGTTTTTCTTTTAAAAACAGAAAAATTTGCGACAGAAAAATTTAATGCGCATTCATAGAAGGTTAGTATTATTTGCTATTTTAACTACATACATAAAGAAGCGACAGGAAAAGTGCTGTAATCACAATACACAGGGAGGTGGCTAGAAAAACTGAAAGTTTGTTTATAACAGCTATTTATTTTTACAAAGAATAACTTTACAAAGTTTTCTTATGGCGTATTACACAGAATATTACAGAAATCAAATAAAACCTGAAAAGGTATAACTTAAAACAACGTAGAACCTAAAAAAAAAAAAAAAGTTATCGAAAAGGAAATGAGTAGGCACGCATTTTATTTGTGATCTCATCTGCCTTCAAATTTTCTGCGACCACCTTGTATTTGTGAGTTGACCGACTATTCAATGGTTATATAAGTAAACAATTTTCAATTTTTGCCGCAGAAGAACTAAATCAGCTAATGTAACATTTCAATATATTGTGAAAATCACATTTTTGTAAGGGTTTGGCTTTAACAGCGAAACCTACAAGCGGAGATAAGGCTCTAATATTCGAAACTAAAACGGGTAGAGTTTTGTAACCCGGACCAAAAATTGGCTTGTTGTCTATAATAACGGAAAATAAATGAGTCCATATTCAGAAAAAACGTGAAATAAGCTACTCTCGTCTTACTGATTTGTTCAGTGATTGGCAACGATGAGTTGTTTATTCATGCAAAAAAAACTATTCAAAATCGTGAATGAAAGTAATTTACTTGATCTTGGCAGAACATCAACGTATCTGACGATTGCCAAGGATGTAAAGACGTGCGGGACTGAAAGATCAATCTCACACATTAACTTGGGCTCACTAATGAGTGCCGTGGAAATTACTAAATTTCATAGTTAAAACATAATACTGGTGGAATAAAATGGCATAAATATATTAATATAGTCTCTCGGATTTGAATGGAAACTAACGGGACCCCTGGACTGGCGGAGCCCTAGGGTCCCGCGTTAAAGTTATGTGGACATATTTCTCGATATCTACTCACGGCCACGGGGATCATGCTTGGTTCAAGTTACATGAAATATACCGTCTTGGCAGGTTCAAAAGAAAATATCTAAAGGTCAAACTTATTTAACCTTTTGTCACTCATTTATGTTATGTAAACTTCCAAAACATCAAATAAACCTCTGTCGGTCACGCCCAAAGGCAATGAATGCCAACAGAATTGTAGGAAACGAAACCTGTTGACTTTACATCCTAAGTCGCCGTGTGAGCCGCTGAACATATGCCATTCAATTCCAACGGTCGTGGAATTTTTATATGAGGTTTTTCTAAGCTTTGCCCCGAATAAGTTAGTGATCTTCCTTCCTTATCGGGACCGAGCTATGGCTCAGTATAGCAATTTATATGTAAAAGCATACCATTTTTTTGAAAAAGGTCCGACGCTACAACATTCATTGCGTTTTTAATAATAGGGCGACCGTATTATAAATTGCATTAACTTCACCTACAACTCGAAGTCAAATGCTTCTATACATGAGAAGCTGATTTAGGTCCTAACCCTATCGATTGATGAGCTACTATAGGACGATTGAGTAAGAATAGGCAAGCAATACACTTCTCGATTACCTTAATAACGTTAAATGAAAACAAATCTCTAAAGGTTATTAAAATTACTATCTTAAATAGCAATAAATAAAGTTACAAAGAATTTAAAGCTTCTCCCGACATCAATTCAGCGACCCGTGATAACCTCGTAAATCTGTCAATGTTCACGATAAAACTTACAACGCCATCGTGTGGCTGCTAATTAATCACAATATGTCAAGGTTTTTTGACGAAAGCAAACGACATTGGTGGTACCGGTTGTTTAAACAACATTTATATTAAAAAGCCGAAGTTCAGGTAAAAAAGTCTAAGAATTAACGTAAAGTACAAGTTGATGTTCAAAAGTAATCAATAATCTCAATTTAGTTTTTTTTTTGTTAGAAAACATTATGCTCAAGTGTTTGTTTAAAATTGTCAGCTATTTCTGCCTGTTTTAATTTGATTTTTCGTATCCTCAAATGGATTCGTACAAATGACAGAAAATCGCAGTTTATACTCGTGTCACCACCACCGCATTGAAGATTTAAATATCGAACTGTTGACTCTACATTTTCAATGGTATTTGCCGAAATAATTCAGAGTCCTTCTCCGTTTTCATTTGCGATACATTCAGCGAAGCCAGGATTACCCTGTCAAAACGTTAAAGGGTTTTACACCAAGTTATGCTGTCAGAAGTTGCCTTTTTTCAATATACAGCACATTACTTCGCTAAAATTATTTAACTATGAAGTCTAAATACAACCGAATTATTTCTAATAGGTTAAAGCCCGACTCAATAAACATTGGCTTCTATTATTCAGGGTTCATACAAGACTTAATCTACCGTATCCCCATTACCACCACTTCAAATAGACAACTCTAACGTTTAGAAAATAGGTTATGCAGGTACAAACAACATGAACTTGAGATTGTATAGCTTAACCTTCATTTAGGAAAAACTGAAAATCTACCAGGACTCGATTTTAATAGAGTAATACATGTGGCGATAGGTCTCGGTCTCAAATTCGGATCAAATTTTAGATCGTCACTGACTGACTTGCAAACATGTACACCATCTAAAATAGTGAGCTTATGTCAGCCTGTCTAGAGCCTTTCTTGCAGTGCAAGTATGAAGATTTCTATATATGATTCATAACACAGCGATCTGTAGTATTTGTACAGCTGTTAAAAGCAAATAAACTGAGTTTTGTGAGAATTCTGAACTTGTTTCATTATTTATCAAAACTTCTGTCGTCGACTTATACTTGATATATCCTCTCTTTGTGTTAACGAGCCTGGTTCTGACAATCGCCACTTCAAAATATTCAGTTTTATTTTCCGAAATTTCATGTTTCAATTCATATTACCGCGATGTTTATATTCTCCTTTTTCCTGATTTATGCTCTTACGGAAAACCACTATTCGCAATACATTTTGTATAAGTACGGACAAAAATACAACCATGAATAAAAAAAAAATCAGTAATTTTTCCTTGACCCACGGTATTTAAATCTTTAATGTTATGGGGGTGACACGAGTATAAATTGCGATTTTATGTCATTTGCTAAAATCCATTCACATTAAATTCGAAGACGTTTCAATTTTAGTCTGAGACTTCAATATAAATATATGAACAAACCATGCAACCCTGCCTAAACTCGCGTTAGTAAGTAAGCTACAGCGTCTTTCTTACCTAAACTCTTCTCTAATGCTATCATGAACTAAAGCAAAAGTAAAAATAATCTGCATCACGAAGCAAGCGAAATCATAGTCTCGGTTATTGACAATGAATGTGGGCTTATAACAACAGTTCGTAATGTGAAAAAGTCGGAAATTTACCTAAAGTATGAATATAAATGTAATTTCTTAAAGCAAATATTTTTGAGTAGTTTAAAATCTCTATATTATATAAGATATAGGGCCCAAAAATATGTTATAAAAATTCCTTAAGTTTAAGGCTTAGGTTCACAATTACTCTAAACTTGCATTACAGGTAAACTAATATTGTCCCCTAGATAATGTGGACTTGAAAAATTATTATTACATTATTTTAAAATTCGCATAAATTAGCAGATAATACAATCAGAAAATAACTTATTGGTGATGCCTTGTCCAAACCAGATCCATAAACTGAGACTGGAACTTTTTTATTCTCCACACTTTAGGGTCTCGGTACTTGATATTTTCAGTAAAGGGAACAATATCTGACACATTAGTTGAAACATAAGAATAGCTCAGATATATTCAGAAAAGCGTATCCGTTCTACAGTGCCCAGAGACACACAGCTCCGTTTAACAGGGAGATTGGGCGTGCCGTGCTTTAAAATCTTAAATTCACATCACCCTTTTTCTAATTCAACATAGTACAACATTGAAGATAATCATAAAAATATGAAAAAACATATTTGGAGCTTTGAAACAAAAAAATGAGACTGATGGACGCCCGATTCATCTTGTTTAAGCGTTTTGTGAATTGAGGATTTTGATCGATTGCGATCTGAATACGGGTAAATTGCCTTTCATTGCTTTAACGATACACGATTTTGCCATAATTTTTATATCGTAGGCCTTTACACAGTAGAGTGGATATTTTTATATAATGAACAATACACTTCTTCATTGAAGATTTCATACACCCTCTACGATGACTATAACAAAATTATAGGTACAGAATTACTATGTCATTGAAAATAGGCGAATATTTTTGGTCCAATATATTGCTCACTCAATTCATTACGTAGGTTTTGGTTTATACAAACAATAATATAAAAATATGGCAAATAGAATACACATTTCGTGATATACAATCATTTCATGCCCATCCTTCACTCTAGCGCTTTTAAAGTAATGCTTAATAATTTTCAATACGAGATTGTCGTATTTTAAAGAAGAGTTATTTCAGACTTTCAATGTAAACAAAGATCCATTTAAATATTAACAGTTATTACAACTACCACTTTCGAAATTGAAAAGCACCATAACGCTACTCCTATTAATGAATATACTATCATTCAAATTCAAAATTTATTATCTTCGATACTTCAACTATAATTCCACAAAAATAACCATAATATTAATAATTATTAATAATTAATTATATATTATAATTAATATTATAACCATTAATATCTCAGTTCATGCTCATATATTTTCCTTTTGAGATTTATATTAGCTTCGACGACGTGACTCATATTTTTTCTTACTTTTAACCCTTAAGTTTACTATCACATTTAATTTCAAAAAAGCAAAAGATAGCATAATAATACTCTAATTATTGATAACACTAAAACTTAGATACCATATACTGCATTTATTCTCCCTAATGTTAGTGAATTTCACAACATTTTTGCGATGCGAGCAAGTAAAAGTATTTCCCAATTTGTCCTATGCTGGGTATTCATGGCCAAACTTTTCTACAAAAAATTTATCGCTTCAGTAAAAGAAAATCGGCGGCATAAACAAGAAAAAAATGTTTATCATACAGATTTCCAGAAAAATACATGATGTCACGCGGTCAACCTACTTGGCGAACACGGTAATTATTCAGCTACCATCTAATGAAGTAATTTCATTTTGTCATTTGACAAAAATAGATCATAGATTTGCCAATGTCTACACGTTGTGAATATGCAAAGACGGTGCGTAAAAATTCTGCTTGTTGATTGCTTTTTTAACGAGATTAAAAGCTAAAAAATGACAATAAATGAGAAAAAAATTTGCCTTTTATAACCTCTTATTTCCATTAAAAAATCACCCGACATACTACTAAAGCAAGGTTAACTGTTTGAATGTCATTTTCACAAATTCTGATCCACGTTCGTTTTATGGAAATTTGTGAACGAATATTTTTGTTTAAACTAATTGATGATTACAATATTATTACTTTTCTAAGAAATTTAAATTTGACTTAATCTTCAATTTAACAAATTGGAGATAAAGATATTTTGTAACGTTTGCTTCAAAATTTTTCATATTTTAATCTAGATAGTAGGGTATTGCGTAGCTTGTTAAATTTCGCCCAACTTGAATGTCTAAGATTTTTAACCACGGAAAGACGGCGTACATCTGTTTAATTGCTCGAATTATGTCCTCTTTAAAGCTAATATTGAATTAAAACAGGCGAGTAGGTTCTTTAACTTTCGAAATGTCTCATTAAAATCTTCATTACATGGTATTCCAACAGTATTCCAGGAAATTTTAAAATAGTTTGTAACCCTGTTGAAAAATTCACATTTGTAACTGAAATTTCGAAATAACTCAGAACTCTCGAAAAAATGTGAAAATTGATATTTTCCAGCTTAGATCATTTAAAATAGCGATAATGATTATTACCCCCATATCAAGTATTAATCACATATTTGTTTGAAAGATTTTCAGTAAGGCATGTAATCATCTTTGCCATCAATACCTCGTTTATTATTACACTAAAAGGCAAAATTGAAGACGTAAATTGTAGATTGGCAAGTATCTAAACTGTTGCAATATAAATGTTCATCAACTAAATTGTGTGACGCTTTGCCTAGACAAAGATGATAGCAATAAAACACAATTTTCCTAATACTATTCACCTTCAATTTTGTCTAACTTCAAATCACGATCAATTAATTCTTGTTTGATGGAGTAGTGTAATTAAACTACACATTGAGGGTGATAATTAGTTAATTAATAGAGGAAATTAGTAATTGATTTTAGCGTAACAGCTTCAAAACGTTCACTTCTTAGAAATAATTGTATATTAAATCCTTGTGATTACACTTGATTAGGCTCAATTATATATTTTAATACATTCCAAGAAATCGGTGATTTTGCGCTTATCGAGAAAAGGTATTCAAGTCATTGTCAAGGCAGGCGAACAAAAAACTCATTCGAAAGCATTGGGAAAATATTTCATATTAAACAAAAATGTGATGTGTGAAGAAAACGATGTGTGAGGGCAAAATATTGTACAAGATTATATATTATATTAAATGTCTGAATATTGTAGTTTAGAAAGCAATAAACACAGATTAAGAATCAACTTTCACAAATAAACATTATACTCGGATGTAATTCTGGTTATTAGGGGTCACGAACTTTTAAAATAATACAATTCAATCTTTGTAAATTCAAAAATCAGCAAAGTCTGAGACCACAAAACTTATCTCGTTAAAGAATAAAATCATCAAAATGCTTCCATGCTGAATTGACTACAGATACATATAGTTCTTATTCTTGATTGTTACATATATTGCCCTAAATTCTACTCTGAGCAATATACCTGAGGATTACTTCACCTGTGATCTTTTTCCTCACGCTTTTAATAGCGAGTGTCAAAGCAAAATTATGGTCATTTGGTATCATCTATTTTTAACATATTTCTATGAAAAACGGACTATAAAAATGTTTCTCCTAAATTCGTCAGAATTAGTAAGCTATATTTCAGACACTTGCTCATCACCGCACCCGAAATTTTTGTGAAATGAATAATTTACCTAAATTCACTTTTTTCATGGATATTCGTTGAATCATATTTGGATAGACCGCATCAATGACTGGTGGTGTCTGGTGTAACGACGAATCGAGGTATACTCAGCTGTAACATCTCCTATCCGGTTGCATATAATATATCTACGTCCTTAAAATTGCGTTATAAAATCCATAATTATAGGGAATTAGGTATTTGTTGGCTCATACGAACAAAAGTACATAAGTGTATGAAAAAATATTATTCATTTGCCTTTTTGCATTTAACGTAATTTTTAAAAAAAATTACAAAATTTACGAAATTAATAATCCAACTAAATTCCCTTTTATGTGGATATTGTTGAATCACATATATATAACATACCGAAGACACAGTTTAGCATTCATCAACCACACATTTTACGCATTTAAGTATATGTAAGCTAAAACTTACTTTACAAAATCCGTAATTTTAGCGAAGTTTTTATAATTTCACGTGATTTTCGTGGAATTCACAAAATCAACTGAACTCGCTTTTATGAATCACATGTATAGAACGTATACCAATGATATACATGCGTGGTTATAGTGCGATGAAAAGTGGCGTCTTCATGGCAGTCATCAGATAATCTCTTATGTGGTTTCGTATATAACCAAAAATTGACTTTACGAAATAAATAATTTCACTATATTGTGTGTGGCTCACACAAATAAAAAATTTTCAAATGTCTGAAAACCTATTATTCAATCCTGCGTTTATTTACATTATTACAGTTTCACAAGG